CAGCGGGATTTCTGTAACGGAGCGATAACGGAGCGAAGCTACACCGCATCGATCTCTAAAGTGGAAAAGTCACGTATGGAATAGGTGTTTACACTATACCGAATACCTTTTCGTGTCCGCACGAAAAGCTATCCGCTATAGTATGAACATAGACTAAGAGTTGCAGGGCTTGGGGCATTAATGGCAAACAATTTCTTTTAGTAAATTCTCGAAAATCACCAGATTCAAGAGGTAACGTGAAGACACAATTGGGATTTTAACACGACAATGAAGCAAATTGCTTGTGACCATTTCTTTCTTAGCTTGAATGAAATCCTGAAAGCAATGACATTAAAGCACCTGAACTTTTCTCATAGAAACCCTAAGAGAACGAGTCTATTGGTGTAAGCGCTGTCCTCTTCGTAACAGTGAGGAGTTTCCCTCTAATAAAACCTTACTATCAAATTGTTTAATATGTTTTCTTTAAGGAATCAACAGAAACTCCCCTGATCCAAGGTACAAAGAACACAATTTAGGACAATTCAGTACATCCTAGACTAGACCCAAAGGGACGAGGAAAAGATGAAAGCGAGAAGTATAGACTTTTCACAGTGACACACAGCCCCCTACTTTTCCCGTAAGATCGAGCGCTTACCATTAAGGGCCGCCATATAAGTTTCAAATGTACCGAGCAGGGCAGGCCACGGGGTACTAATCCCCAGGCTAGACTCAGTACCTTTGAAACCAAGATGATCGTATGTAACGACATGTGCTTGATCCCGACGATTTTATGGGGAAAAAGGGCACTGAGAACAGTCAAGGACAACAACGCTGGATGGCGAACGACGCTGTCTGGACGCCAATAGCCGGTTTTGCTCAACCATAAAACTACATGTACACAATCCTTCACCACAGGCAACGATGAACGGAACAGTCAGAGTGAGCGATATACTACCTTCCTTCGCAAAAAAGGACAGCAATCGAGACAACTTAAAGCTTTTCTTTTTAAACCCTGGAAACCTTCCTTGTCCCTCTGGCGCGAAACAGATGGCGTCAAGGGAAGATACTTCGTTTCTAAAACACCACGCGCGCCAGGTGAGAGCACGGAAGGAGGGCTAAAAAGGAGCTCTGCGTTTTGCTCTACTCAAATTTATATTCATAATATTGCACAAACCTGTGAATTGGCAATAACATGATTTGCTTCCAGCTGGATTGGAAATTTGACTCCCAGCTCAGAGGAGAAAGTGTCCATCGGTGACAGAGTGCCAGAGGTTAGGATGATGCAGCGTGCCTGTGAACCAAGCTCGGAGAAAATCTTGAAACAAGTAAAAGGAAACCACTGGTTAAATGTTTATACAGTCAACTCTCTCTAAGACAGAAACCTTTGGGACGGGCACAAAGTGTCCGTCTTATAAGAGAGTCAAATAAAGGGAGAAAAGAAAGGCAAGAACCAACTCTAGGTGTCGTTTTAATAGAGACAATAGAGATGTTCGTCTTACAGAGGTGTCAGTGTCCTTTGTATTAAATACTCTATTTGGACATTTCCCATAATACAGTCAACTCTCTCTAAGACGGACACCTTTAGCACCGGCACTAAGTGTCCATCTTAGAGAGATGACTGTCTCATAGAGAGTCACCTAAAAGGAGTACAGAAAGGCAGAGATCAACTTAAGGTGTCCATCTAATAGAGGCAGGTCTGTCACTAAGAGCCAGGGACCGGGTGTTTCCCCTGGCTTCTATATGCATGACCCCGGGATATTTTCATAGGAAAGAAAAGGAAAATAAAACAAAAGAACTTGTTAGTTGTTCACTTTCCCGCCTACTAATTACATAGAGAGGGCAACCTGAAATCTTACTGACAGCCCTGTAGAGGTGTCCGTTAAGATAGAGTTGACTGTGCTGTGGGAATTGAAAAGGGGTGACAACTAGTGAATGAACAAATCCAAACAGCTCTCACCCGCCCAGAAGGAAAAATTATTTCCTGATCCCACTATAAAAGTTCTCTGTCATCTGTGATAAAGAGTGATGGTACAAAGAAATATTATTTTGTACAAGAGTAGGTAAATATTAAGAAGAAAAACCATAACATATTTTATTTCAGCTATCTACTTTAAAGGTGAGTGCGTGTCTTACCACAGCAGGGTTCAAACACCAGAAATTTAACGAATGTGTCCATTCCTTCCTCATTCCTGAGGGATTAAAAATAATTGTTATCGTTGTAGTATCAATCGTGCATATCCCTATTATAGTCAAGTCCCGTTAATACGAAACACTGAGGGGGTCATAGAAAGTGTCCGTATGAACGAGGTGTCCGTAAACCGGAGTTTGACTAGAACTGTAGTACAGTTGAAGGTGTGAAAAACAGGTAAAGCAAGAAAGAGGCTGTACAAAGCGGCGCACACAAGTGGAACATATCCCGTTTTTTTAGCATTAAACAGCTGTAGGAGGTAAAGGAAAAGAATCAAAGATTGGCAGAGTTGGTATGTATGTAGCCTTCTATGCAAGAAGTCGAGTCCCAAGTTCGATTTCCAGGTGTCACCTCAAATCCTTTTTTTAACTTCTGCCCTTTCTGTGTAGATTCAAATACCAGTAAAAGGGAGCTCTGACGGAGAGAGGGGTGAAAAATGAGCGCACTGTCGGCCTCAGGATTGTTAGCCAGATGGTGAGTCTTTCCACCCTGGGTGTCAGAGACCTTTCATGCGCAGTTTCCGGTTTCGATCACGGACGACACCGAAGCATCCAGCCGCACGCGAGAAAAAAAAAACCTCTGGTACCCAAGGTTGTTGTTGTTTGCACTTTCGACTTTCTTAAGTCCTTTAATTTTTGTCCTGGTTGGTTATGCCATTTTAAAGGACTTTTCACACCTGTTGGACGCGAAATACACCGATCGAAATTGCAACGGTGACGTCATGACAATTGACCAATAGGAGAATGAGGGTATCAGCATGACGTAACCTGAGAACCTCGAGGAATACATCCGTATTTGCTTTTTTCCGCGTACATCTACAACATGCTTCAAATCCATTCCGGTGAAACAAGTCGACCGTCGTGACTTCGTCGCTCGCTTTGTCGCAACCTCATTGAAGCTCGCTTCAAGAAATTACGAGAGGTCGACTTGTAGCAAGTTTATTTGCACTCATGGTTGCAACACAAACATAAACAGGAGCACAAGACAAGGGAACTAAAACGTCCTTGTGCATGTCAGCCTCCTACCACGTGCATGACTGACTAGCTGCCAAAGGAAAGTCACAATTTTCGCCTTTAACATTATAATTGGTGCAATCTTAATGTTTGAGTAGAGAAAGGGCTACGTTGCAAAATGGCTAAATCGCAACCCTTAATGCCCCCTTAATAGTATTCTTACCTGAATGAGATCTTCGCCAGCCTCCAGGCTGAATTGATACATAAAGAAAAGAAAGGAAGAGAAATAGTAGGTTACTTAATGAACACTGTAACCTTCTTGCCAGATGCGGATCGCAAAGCATACTACATCACGATCCTTGTAACACAGGACACCATACCTTACCTTTCTTAACTAAGCGTGCTTGGAATCTCAGCCTAGGTGTTTTTTACAAATTAACTAACACTATTTTATGTTCTGATCGCTCAGGAGCTCCCTCAAAACAACTTTGGTAAAAGAAATCGAGTCTTGTTAGGCCCCGTGCAAAGGGACGCAACATTGTTGGCCAACAACTCCCAACATTGTTGGATGATACATGTTGCGTCTGTTTGCACACCTTGTTGCATGTTGTTGCGCAAAGTTTGAAACCGGTCAAACTTTTCAGCCAGCAACTCCCAACATTTCCTTTGTTCCGTGATCGCCGAAGCGTAGCGCAACAATGTTGGATCCGTTTGCACAGCTCTTCCAACATCGTTGGGGCCACGCACGCTCATTACGCATGGTTTACAAAGAGTTATGGGTTGTACCCTTCCCACGATGCACTGCAGGTCCCAACATTGTTGAGAGTTGTTGCATCCGTTTGCACACCCCTGTCAACACGCATGCAACAATTCCCAACATTGTTGGCGCAACAATGTTGGGAGTTGTTGCGTCCGTTCGCACGCAGCCTTAGAAATGACTTATTTTTTACTTTTTATCATTCAGTGCTTTTTATGATCATTGCAAATATTACCATTTTGATTTTCTTTTTCATGATAAAGAATATTGGAACAGTCATCATCATTCAACTTACCAAGGCCTCCACGTTTCTGACCATTACAGACGTCTTCAGTATTGCACATCTGAAAGTTTTTCAGACACCTTGTATTAACGATGATGTTTCAATCTTACTTCTTTAAATACAGTCTATTCCCTTTATTGGACACTGTCTGGACAATTAGTAGTACTGACAGATCACAAAAGCAGTGGTCTAATCTCGTATCATTTCCTGCTAAATATATTGCGACTTATATGACGATTCGTTGATTTTCCACTAAACTGAGTTCTAATAATTTGATGATTTACGTCCCACCTATTCTACTCATTGACATTATACGAATAGATTTTAGTCGCTTTCAGTGAACTTTCTTAGGTTCAGTTTTTCAGTTCTAAGAAGCACATCGACACGAAGGATTAATTCTGATCCTCTCTTGAGGTTCAATAAAATTTTTCTTTGCCCTCGTTTTCCAATATGTTTGTTTCAGGAAAATTAAAGATCAGCCTGTTGGAGCAAATTGGTGGCGAGATATAAGCACTGTTTTGCTCTGATGACTCCATATAAATCATTCTAAAATTGGCGTGAACTTTAAACGTAACGATCCAAGCCAATTTTAGAAGTATTTGTATGGAGTCATCAGAGCATGCTTACTCTGCCTAGGTAAAAAAAAGAAGACTTTTAATGAATGCACTCTAGGGGAAGAGGCATGAATCTTACAAAAGGACAAAAGTGATAAGGAAAACAAAAGAAAGAAATATTGTTACAGTGTATAAATGTTTCAAATTGGAAGGACAATCTCTTATTATTTCCAAACCTGTAATCAGAAATATACTTCATATTGTCTCCCATCATAAAGCCGCCCACCAGAAATATTCCCTCCAGAAGAGAAGCACTGTGAGATGACAATGACGGCATTCCTTGCCTTCAAAAAAGAAAAAAAAACGGACACAATAGACCATTTCCAAGTTCCCTCGGGCCTCTGTATCAAAACGAGATTATGTGCTCAGCCTTTGATATAGAAACCATCTTTCATTCTCAAGCAAATAAAACTCATTTTCGCAGGAAAGGTTGTGCACTTGGCCTCATTTTTAAAGTGAGGGTTTTGGAATTCGAAAGTGGCCTATTTTCAAGCAATTCAATAGTAACAGTAATAATACAGTAAAAACCTGCTTGTAAGAATCTAGAATTTTTTTAAGTCTCGCAAAAGGGGTTCTTGTATTTTGTAGAAGTTATTGGCAATTTAGGCTAAGTAGGTTCTTAATTTCTATGAAGGATATACCGTTTTTGAATACCAGAAAAATAAGTTTGGCCCTTACATAGTACAGTATTATTAATAACTGTACATTGCAAGCCTACTTTACGCAAGGCCCATAAAATTAGAGTCTGTACCTGACATAAACCTGTGTTTGTTTTAGGAATAGTAAAAACAGTTACTGTAATACTTTTATTTGTAACTTCAGTTTAGTACAGCATTTTCTTGTAAATAGCTACAAATTTGCAAACTCAAAGTTAAACTCCTTTGTTACAATGTTTACCACAATTCAACTGTAACCCACATATTATAAGAACCTGCTTGATGTCACTTGGTTAAAGAGGTTCTGATATTTTTGGGTATTAAAATGGCAAATTTCCGAAACCACTCGTATAGGTTCCCACACACAAGTTTTTACTGTATTATAATTTTATTGAAGAGGGCACCGCCCTTAGTATGGGGAATAATTGTGTTAAAATATAGAGCCTTCGTTCTTAACCCTTTAAGTCCCACAAGCTACTAAGATCAATTTTGCCTTTCAATTGACCTCAACTTTGTCTGTCATCCATAAAAATACGAAAAAACTTGGCCCATATCTTGCCCTCATTGACTCATTGTTGGTCAATATATATATTGCCTGATGAGTGTGGTCATATTTTACCATAAAATAGTATTGTTCCAATGAAGTGATGAACTACTTCTGAAGTCTAGAACTATATCTCTTTTAAAAAAAATCTGGAAAATGTCAGTACATTTGAAGAAAGTAACCATGATAGCCATTGCAATGTTTACCGGAGGGTTTCAACTTTATTGTAATAAAATTATTACAATAAATAACCAGTCAGTTAGGTGCAGGGTTTTCAGTAAGAATTCTAGTAGCAGGAGAAAAGTGTAACGTTACAAGAGAATATTTTGATAGAGGCTCAATGTCTTAATAAAAAATTGTCAAGGCTACCAAACGTTAGCTGGAGAATTCTCCAATCTCCAAAGCCTAATGAACACTGAAGGTAGCTGTAAAATTTCGTGCTTGAAAGACAGGAAACAAACCAATGTCCTCTATTTGCACCAAATTTTACAGCAACAAAACAAAATAATAAGCATCATCATCTGTAGTGATGTCTAATGTACCTGTTTGGATCTTTAGCAGATGCCATGACAAACTGAAAATGTTCCTAACAATTAAGAAAACAGTTAAACACACAGTTAAATACATTAATTTCAACAATTTACAGCCCTAAAATTGAGGTTCTAACTTTTATTTTTAAGAGATGATATGCACTTAACCCACGGCAGTACACAGGCTACACTCAGTTAGTTAAACACTAAACTAATTTCAGGGTTGAAGAATAAGAAGTCATCAAAGGCACCTTGAAAATGTGTCCTGCAGTGCGACCTTTCAAGAAACAACTAGAAAGAATATAAAAAGGGGAATAAGAAACCACTTACAGAGTAAATTTTAAATGTTGCCGGAGTAATTCCTTGCTTCTCCATCGCTGCCACAATTTCTCTGCCAGACCAGACTTTAGATGACTGTTCAAAGCTTCGTTCTTTTAACTGCGACCAGCTCTCGTGAATCCATCTTAAAAAGCTCCCAACCTGAGGAAACAACAGATTATAGGGTATTAAATTTTGGCATGATAGCGTGAACACAGTTACCCTGAAAACTAATAACAGTAACAGTGATTTTGTTTGTCTTTGAGAAAAATGTCTTTTGACTGGTCACGATTTCATCCAATAGCCTGAAATTAAACAGGGCTGTCACCAAGATTTCAAGTTCCTGGGTATGTGCAGCTAGTAGGCAGCTAGGAAGTTATATTTTCCATCAATTTTTGTTTCCTATGAAAGTATAGCCAGGGGGCAAACCCACAGTTGTCGGCGGAAATCCCCAGCGCCCAGGCCTTAATGACAGCCCTGTTAGAACTCACATAATTTCTGACCGGTTTTTCAATTATACCAAAGATATGAAAAGAAAGTACTATACAGTAGTAATGCCAAAGGATGTCTCGACAGAAAATAAATTGAGGAAATAAACATTAATTTTTGTAACTGTATTTAAGAAGATAAAAACCTAACTGAACATTTAACACGAAGAATATCTATTATAAGTCAGTTTACCATTAAATGTAGTGCCCTGTGGTTTTCTGTCAACACCTGCAGATGAACTTTAAAGAAAAACAATGTCAAATTGATGCAAATCTGCAGTGTGTTTTCTTTACGCAAACTCACAAATTTTTTCCTGAGACTGGATTTATTTACTTTCTTACCAACATCTGTAATTTCTTTGAAAAAATACTACATAGATGCGAAGAAAATACAGGGGCAGTAAGGTATATGTAGGTTAGCCATCCAGAAGGTATTTTCTATTACAAGTTTACATGTCACTAATAAAACAATCTACTGGTATTAAATTTGACAGGTCTTTTTGACAGGCTGTTGTGATGTTTCATGTGCTACTGAGACAAGACACTTTTAACAATGTTTCTCTTAGACTGATGTAAAATCATAGTTTCATTACCAAGTTTATCAAGCTCATCTAAAGTGTTTTGTAAATCCACAGCTGTCAGTGTGAGGCTGGCTGCCTCACGAGCTGAGTCTTCTACATTGTGGGCCTCATCTAATACTATAATCTGATCCTTGAGATTAATATCCAACTAAAAAAGAAAAAAAAATTAATGGAGAATGATTTTATATTTTATAGTAATGATAAGAAAATAGATGGCTCTTAATTGGTGGAGAAATTAAAGACTTCCACAATATATAAACATGCAAAATCCTGTCAGGTAAGTTAAGAACGTAATTCATTGGCAGAAGGGAAAATACACCAGCCCCGAACCATGAACACCCCTCTCTTTGCACATTGTAGCATGAGAAAATTTTTCAAGGAGTGTTTGCCAAGACGATATTCAGCCTATTTTCTCTCCCCTCACCCCTTTGTTTTCCTACTGACATTTTCATTAAGACAGGTGTCTGTTTTCCTTTGTGTAGGGACTCATGGCTGGGTTGTGGGTTTTGCCAGCAACAGGGGCATTATAGGGACTGCCTGCGAAAAGTGGAAGTCCCTGGATACTCCAGGCAATCAACTTCAATAAAGTGAAACAGCCAATTAAGATAAGTTGTTTCAAGCAGATATTTTTTTTTGCTGTGTGTTCTGGCACCTCCAAGTCAACATGAATGTGCTGTACCACCTTAATCTTTTGCTATGAAAAAGGAAACACTGCACAAAACATTGCAAGCCTGTTTGATAATAATATGTACCTGATATCTGATTTTAGGGTCTATGAGATAATTATATGGACAAAAGATAATGTCAGCCTCTTTCATCAACTCCCTTGCAGCATAATATGGACAGGCCTATGAAATAAACAAAACTGGCATGAACATAAGGCCATATCTGTTTGTCAAAACTGTTGATGTGCAGACAAGAAGCAAAAAAATGTACTATTGCTTTATTGCTTTTGTTTTTGACACTGGATGACAATACTTATGAAATGTAACACTGAAATGCCTATGAACAAAATTTAACAAAGATGTGCCCAAAGATTGCCTGCCTCCCTGTTCTTGTTGGTGAATAGATGAATGTAGACCCTTTGAAGTTTTAGACTACAAGTACTGGAAGTATACCTAATTTTTCTTCAAATTTAGCATACCACAAATGAATGCTTATTTGCCTGTGTCACTGAAAAGGGGTATAGGCAGGTCTGCAAAACTGCTCCAGGCCAGTAAACTGAAGGGCCCTAGTAAGTCAATAGTACCTTGATTTGAGCACCTAGAGTAACCAAGTCTTCAATATCCCAAGCTTGGTTCAGGCCATGGTAATTTAGGCTTGTCTGAGTCCTGATTGTGTGAACTTTCTGGTAATACCTACAAGTTGTGCCCTTACAAAAATAACACAACAATACTGTTACCACACATGAGTAATTGAATAATGTAACAAGCTACAAGTGGATGTTATATTTGCCAATACATAGACCTCTTGCAGTCTTTCTCATTAACACTCAAGACATCTTAATAGATGCAGGATCAAACAAAAGCTGTGTACATAGGGCAAAGTTTCAAATAAAGGCAGGGTGTCTAATTAAGAGTAAAACAGTATATCATGTTTGACTGTGCAGAAAGCAGTCCTTAGCTACCATTATTCAGGTGGGAGCTGTTACTGCCCAACTTATTGTTTTTGTATTGTGGGGCGTGTGCCTTCCACCTTCCTTTGACATGTAAGACAAAATGCAGCTAACCTTTGCTTGCTTAATTTTTGTACCATAGATCACTGTAATGCATAAACTTAATATTACCATGGAAGCAATGATGTAAAGTACAGGCGTTTGCCATTTGCACATCTCACATAATGCACCATGTTTGCCCCCCAAAAAATTTGGCACAATTTTGCATTGTCTCCATTTTCTCTTGGGATAACAGTACTGTAACACCCAGAAATAAATTAAAAAACAAAGGTTATACAAAACTTTGGGGAGACAAACAAGCTGTATCATGGGAGATGCGCACATGGCAAATAAACGGATCTCCACATACCACTGAACCATCCAATAACTTTTTACACTCCTCGTTTTTGTTCTTTCCTTTTGACACAACTGGGTGAATACAAGAGTGTTCACGGCTGGATAGTATAGTCATCCTATGACAAAGAATTTAATGTGTAGTTAAATAATATTAAATACAGGCAAAGTTTAGTCACCAACTTTTGTAGGTAATACCTTTCACAGCCTTGCCCATCAGCTAGTCCTTCTATTGTTTAAAGTCAAACACAATAGACCATTAATTTTGCACTAAGAGGTCACATTACATCGTTTTCATGAAAATGAAAGTTATATGATTTTGCCTTCGAAAAACGATTAGTGGGTCATATCTTAAACAAAATAATAGTGATTTGGTTTTTCATGTTGGAGGGCAAGAGTATGCCCTCCAACATGGAGGCCAATACAAATCATACTACTTTGTTAAAAAATCAACGTGCCGTAAAATATCTCCCTTAAATGCGTTTCCTCTCAAATTTCGGGTGGAAGATTATTATTTTGTATGTGCTCTGTCAATTTTTGGCATCAGCAAGATTCCAACTCATTGTTTAAAGGGAGCATTGGTCACGTGACCTCTTAGTGCAAGTGGCCTGTTTCATTTCCTAAAAGCACCCTGTTCATCTGCAGGAAAGTGTATGGGTAAAGAAGGTAACCTAGTATCTAGAACTACATACCATAGTTGCATGAACATCACGATTCAGTCAAAAGAGAACAAAAATATTATTCTCACATAATGCATACCCCCAATTCAAAATGCACCTTTGGCTAAAACATTTTGGGCAACATCTCAAATGGTACATCATGTGTTCAACACCTGTTTTACAAAGTTAACGTAGCTTTCCAATTTTATAATTGAACAAACACAAACAAAAGACATTCATACCTCACTCTCTTGTATTCTGTCTTTCGCAGTTCCCTCGAGATCTGTGCTATTTGCTTGTGTGTTCTAGTTCCAAAGAAAATTTTTGGGACTCTACAGGAAAAAAATGCCATAATTATAATAACAATAATATTATTATTACATAAAAAGAATGGGTACTTTAAAATGTACAGGAAACTTACATATTACACAGAGATATTCTTGTAGCATGATAAAACTATAACATGGTATCATCCCTGCCCATTTGACTAGTGGTATCCTATCAAAAATAACTCTCAAGTGAACTTTCAACCTCTTACATATACATTCATAAAAATTATTCTATCACTTGGTAATTGGCTCTTCGATCATCTAGGCCAGTGTTGACAGAGGGCAACAAACTCTCACTCTTTGTATCCCTAGCTTGTTTGACAAGCTGATTTTGCCAGTCCATGATTGCAATCATATTTGAAATTTATTTATCAGCCCAGAATTAAAATTGGAAGTGATCAGCAATTCTGATTTTTTGGCATTCTTAACTACAGCTTGTATCATAAGATAGGCTCATTTGTTGTTTATCTGACAATGGACACTAGGTTATTGACCATGACATTTTAACTGTGTACTGCTGGTCTTCTTCAGACAATGGTGCTGATTTACTGACTTGGACTATGTATAAAACACATTGATAAAAACACATTCCAGTGAGCTTGAGCTACTTACTTTATGATGTCTGGTTTGTCATTTATTTTATCACTGCAATCACCAGAGCATTTCTCCTTGGTGTTATTGATGGCACTATGAGATTCATTTTCAACTGATCTATCTCTTGTTAGCTCCATTCTCCATTCTGGAGGCTTGTAGTCAGCATTATCTTCACTTTCAAGCCCTCCAACAGGTGTCTCGACACGCCTCTTTTTGGATGATGATACCACCTTTAACATGTACACATGATTTGATGAAAGAAAAGTGTTTACAACTGCCCCTGTTGGCACTCACAAACAATGGATTATGGGGGAGGTGAGAATTATTCTTGCAAGCACTGAGAGTACAACGGTGTCAGTTTAAGTTCAATAAAAATTCTGAATACAGTGAACGATCTCTAATACGGACACCTTTGGGACCAGCATTAAGTGTCCATCTTAGATAAATGTCTGTCTTATAGAGAGTCAAATAAAAGGAGTAAAGAAAGGCAGGGACCAACTCTAGATGTCAGTTTTACAGGTGCCTGCCTTATAGAGGTGTCTATTAATAGAGAATGGACTGTACTGCCTTGAGCCACCTTCTGATAAAAAATTCATCAGAAGGGTAAATTAAGGTGACATTGGGCACAGCTCCTGCTGACAATTTTCATTAAAATGGGATAACTTTCATCGCTGAGCCAGGGCTGTCAATAAGGGCCACAAGCTGGCCAAAGCTGCCAGCTAGTAAGCCACCCTTAGCCAGCTACTCCTTTGGTGCAAATTCCAAAGCTGCCTACTATTCATTATCAGCCTACTACTTAAAAACTCTTTGAGAGCCCTGCTGAGCTCACTATATATTGGTAGCAAAATAATGGCAACATGCATTTGGCCAAAGAAAAGATTTTACTTCTGCAGTTTGAAATATTATGGCCAAAAGAGGGCTAACCCACCACATGAACATTGGTTAATATGATGTTATTTTGAAGCCTCGCAAGCCAAAGGAATCATTAGCAAATTGGAATTAATCTTGAGATAATTTCACACCTGCTGTCCTGGAGTTCTAAATCGCTTCTTTGCTGGTTGAAAATCATCATCCGTTGGGCTTTCAGTAACATTTTTCCTGTCGAGGCACTCATTTGGGTCTGTATTAAGTTTGTAAACCAAATACATTATGAGTTAGACAAATGCCACGGACTGGAAAATGTTCACAAAACTGTTAAACAGACGAACAAAAACTCTGAATTTCAATATTTCTAACCTATTATTATCAAGAAACATCTGAGTGGATCGTGTTGTGGTGGCATGGCTGAGTGGTTAAGGGGGACTGGAATTCAAGATTGAGTGACAAACATTTGAAGCTGAACTGTAATGTAATTTACTTTTCTTGAGTAAACTGGGCACAAACTGGGTCAAATTTGCACATTCAGAGAAGAGCGAGTTCTTGAGCACTGCATAAGTTAGAACAGCCCTACTTGTCCATGGTACTATATCATATCCCTACTGAAGTTCAAAAGGACACTAAAGACGACCGTTTCAACAAACCTGTTGTTTGGTGAACTGGAGTACAAAATCCTACTGAAGTATTTTGTGGGTCTTTGATGTCATTTCGTTCTGAGCAAGTCATGTTATTATACTGAGTTGGATCCCCCTTAATGACAATTCCTGGCTCTGAGAAATGAAAAAATATAATATCATTCAAGAAGAGGAATAATCAAAGTAAAACACAAAGTTTCTCAGGGATGTAAAGCAACTAAATTAATGGCAAATGGTATTGGCATAAAAAGTGTTAAAATCTTATTTTACTGCACCTTTTGGAGGAGAAATGTCTTGCCCACCAGGTGTCCAGTTGCAAAGCTCATCACCCTCATATTCCATTGCTGCAGCTGCTGCTGCTTCTGAAAATAGCGATTTTTAATCAATGCATTATTAACAAAATTAATAATAAAAATAATATAATCATTATCATTATTATTCTTATTATTATTATTATTACTATTATTATTATAATTATTATCATTATTATCTTTCAGTCATCACCAAAGAAACCTGGACAATGTACAAACCAACCTCATAATACAGAAATATTATGGACACAGGGCCAAGTGTTGATATTCCAGTGCCCCTGCTAGAGAGGTACATTGTAGGCAACATCTATTCTCAAGTTGAGTCAGTATTCAACCTATTTGATTCAGAATTTCTTTTGTTTCCTGGCCCAAACTGTTTATAGGAAGAGAATGGAAATTCTGGTTCAACTTGAGAACAGATTTTACCAACAACAGGCACATGTACGCTGTAAGTTTAGCTTCTCCTCTTAAATTATCATGAGGAGCTCTCATCTTGGTCTTGGTGTCTAAGTGGAGACTGTACCACCATCAGACAAAAATAATAATACCATTATTATACTTGTTTGGGAAACAGATTTATAAATGTAAATCAAAGACTTAACATGCAACCAGTACACCTACAAGTATAAGTTATCCTGAATGCCCACTTAAAATTAATAATACACTCTGCAAATAATATACCTACCATTCATTTGTTCTTCAAGTTTTGCTTTCTTCTCTGAGGAGTAAATAAAATAAAATAATCAAAATTAGCTTGAAATTCTGTTCATACTGCACCAAATTTTCAGCTGGTTGACAATTTACCCATTAGTGGTTCTGTTCAATCAGAACCACTGTGACCATACTAAAATTTAGACACCTAGCTGTTTAAAAATTTGAATGCCAAAATCAAGGTCAAATTTTTTAGCCAGTATAGTCATAAATACAACCAGCAAGGTGTGAATACCATAACCGTCTTAACTGTTGTACAGTGTAATTACATGGATGAGTGGATTTACTAAAGTAGCACCCAGCTGCACATGAGCAAATGGTAAAATCTCTGACAAAAGTTAAATTCAACCTCGTTTGTTACTTTTGTGTAAACAGAGGGAAAATATTGAACGGTTCTCTGTGAACAGAGTGTCCAGTCAAATTTTTTAGCCCGTCAAAATTAAACATGTGAATGAAGCTTCAGTCTGGCATATACCTCATGCATGTATTGTGTATTTTATACTTTACTATTTAGGACATGCAGAAAAAAAATCCAGTGGATTAGGGCACTGAATAAATATTACAATGTAGACTCTCTTGGATTTAAATCCTTTCTTTAGCCAGCAGCTGGAGTTGTTCCCGGTAGTCGGCCAGTTGGGGCTTTCCAGAAGTAAACATTTTGTTTAATAATTAAAATTATTTTATTCAGCATTAGAGAGGTATATAGTGAAGGTCAAAATTAAATTTAGGTTGATTCTCAAAGCCTCCTAACCAAGGTATAACAAAAGTGCTGTCTGACAGTCTAGGGTTAGTGGAGTGACCTATTGTCTAGCCTGTTTTGAATCATGAGTTGTCTGACCGGCAACCAAAAAAATGTTAGTGAGAAGGAGGTTCATAGGCCAGTATTCAGGCAAGTGATCTCTTTGAAATTGTCATCTCACCTTGCTAACACTAATTAGTATTAATTAGGATTAGGAGAAGAAGGAAACTGATAATTAATTGCAGTGTAGGTAAAAAAAAATTAACTGAGTTTAATTTTTGGTTACAACATATTCACTAACCATATTCCGCAGTCTGCCAAGCCAAACAGGAACACAGTAAAGCCAAACTTTTTCCACTGCCTGTGGGACTTTCCAGCAGAGAGTTCTGTTGCCTCTCTATTCCTCTGATAATCTGTCATAATGATAATAATGAATTCAACTGACAAGGAGAATGAACTGACTAGTTCAATACTCATGTGGAGTACAACAGTGGAACCATGCAAATACGCTGACTACAATCATTGTCATCATCATCATCATGCGGATTTAACTGAAACAGAGTTTGTGATGAGCTCCCAGGTGGCCTATGACTAATCAAATACTTTGAGTTTGTTCCAAGTTATGCTGTTCAGTAGCCTGGGACAAGAGCCCAATTTGCCAGACAAGTAAACAAATATGGTTGTTTTTGAGAAAAAAAATAATGTGTTGTTTATTGTTACAGGTCAAAATAATATTCAGGTTAAAAGTTTTTAACCCACCAGTAGATTGATTCTCAATTTCCTTTGCCTCCTTAACCCTAATTCATTAATAAATAGGGCAACATGTGCAAATTTCCAACAAAGGGAAACTTGAAAGCTTTCTTGCATACCGTTAAATTCCAAAAATAAGCCCTAGTGCTTATATTTTCGAAAGGCCCTTTTTGAGGGGCTTATTTTTGGAGGGGCTTACATTCGGAGGGGCTTACATTCGGAGGGGCTTATCTATGGAGGGAAATTTGTGTTTCAAAATTGATTGCCCTAGCCTTATAGTTGGAAGTAAATTTTCCGTTTTTGCTTTGTTTTACTTTGCATTTGCTGGCAATTTTCCAAGTACAAGCCCCCGAGGGGCTTATATTTGCAGGGGCAATTTAATGGAGGGTTTTTTGCGTTGCCGGATTGGGGGGCTTATATTTGGAGGGGCTTATACATGGAGGTGCTTATTTTTGGAATTTTACGGTATTTTATTCTTCATTCTCAACAGAAGATTATTTAAAGATAATGTAAACAAACCCTGTCGCATGCATCTAAGCTATTTTTATTTGCTTTGTGCGGTATCATATTACGGTGAGGGAAAAAAACTAAATGGGGGAGGAATTCGAAAACACGTTAAAAATCACGAAAAATAACATTCAGTGCACGATTAACGCAATTAATTTTTCTCTCTATTTTTTTTATTTCATAACTGTTTTTAAACACCTCCTGTTTGCTTTACTCCAACAATTTACAGCCTGCAAAAACCTCAAAGAAGCTGACGTATCACCAGTTACCAGCACATTTTGACAACCCTGTATTTTATTTAATTCTCTGATCTTTGAGACGAACACCTCTCCCAGGAATTTCCAATTCTTACTATGAGCGAGTATGGAGATTTTCTGAAACTACACAATAATTAACTATTTTTGATAGCTCCTCAGAGTTCTGGGCTAGAATCTATAAACGCAACATATTGCTGCATATTGCTATTAGGCAATATTCATATTTTCACTCCACCCTGAATGACAGCCTAGTGAGGAAAATATAAATTATATTTCCCTCATTAGGTCATTTGGTGATGCTTGCCTATAACTTGCTCAAGGTTGGCGGAATATTACAAAAGATATGAAATGCGGCGAATTTGAAGTTGAATTACGATTAAAGCTAAGAGCTTGCTGATTCAGCTAAACTTGCAAACCCATTCATTAATTCATATCATTCAACCACAAAAATTGAACATTTTGAAATAAAATAAACCATTGACAGTCTAGAATATACCTACCATGTTCATCATGGACAACTGAGTCGGATAAGCCTTGCAAGGAAACACAACTTTGACACCACTGATCGTGTACTCAAATCGGTTGTCAGTCTGCGAGTCCGCCATGTTTGACTTCGATTCGACCGGCGGTAATCAGCGTTATTCTCCTAACTAAAGTAACACATTCTAGAGAATTTTGATCAAACACTATTCAAATTTGGCAAAATATTTAACTTTTGCAGCGAAAGCTGACAAAATTGGAGCCCATTGTCGTATCGCACAGATTTACTGGAACAGTTTGTGGAAATGTTTTCCCGCGCGGGCGCACTCGTTATTGCAAAGTGGAGCCCAGGGCTTCTCCTTATTTACTGTCAGTTCTCCTAGAGATGTGCAACTGTCTGTGCAGAAGAAAAGGTAAGGGATTTTCTTAAATTGTTTACTTTACTATTTGAAGATTCGAAGACGTAATGTAACCGGTGGACGACAAAAGGTAGAAAGCATCCTTCTCAATACAAAATAGAAGCATTTCCCCCGAGGGTCCGTCACCCAGTTTACAGACTGAGTTTAGTTACTCTACCCCGTCAATTCGGCGTCTCGTGTATGTTTGATGGTTTTCACTGTTTTCCCCTGTGTTTTAATAAGGTGCAGTTATTAATGAGTAAAAGACTGCAAGGAGTCCCTTTTCAGTTAGTACCGAGTACTTGAGAGACTAACGAGACTGGCTCGGAGTGGCAGAAGGGAATATTTATGCGCCCTTGGATAATAGAAAGACTCCATGATGCGCCCGAGCGAAAATTTTCAGGGATTCTAGCGGTCTAGATAATTAAATGGAAACCATTGCTCTCATTCATAAATTTAATTACAATAACGAGTTTGACACTAACACTGAGTAGAAATTTAACGCCAAATACATGCATTATGCCATTGGCTCCGTTCACTTTTAATACTACAGCAAAATATGTTTCCTTATACATAAAAATTAAAATTAAAAAACCTCCGGTTGATTAATGCAACATACTTTCAATCTCTGCGTTTAACCAAAATATAAACACCTAGTATGTAAATACCTTACAAGGATAAAAACAAACCAAGTTTCACTCACCCTTACTACTCTAGACTACCATAATGGACACGCCAATAGGCCACAAAGATAAACGACCAAGGGTAGAGGTATGTAGTAGTGATTTTCAAACAAAAAGCACCTTTAAATGACAAAAAGGCACGTAGGGCTCAGCCAAATGGTACCATAATGGCGTCGAAACGTGTGGAAACAGGCCTTTTCTCCGTAACCTGCCCCATTCCCCATCGGCTATTATTTAATTCTATCTACCTCCCCCCCTGACCTGTTTCCTTGATTGCCTTCTGAGCTCCTGATGAGACAAGGCTTTCAACCTTTTGTTGACATAGGATGTTTTTTGTTTTTAAGGATGAGCTCATCATGTCTTATTAATTTATTGTTTAGACCGGGGTAACATGAGTTTACAATAGTAGACGGATTATCATAGGTAGGTCACTCATTTTTACAGCTATCATCAGAGGAGGAGCTGGAAATAAGAACCTGCCTAGCAGCAATTGAAATGGAGGAAAAGAAAAAGGAAATCAAGGAAAAAGAAAATGAATTGAGGGAGAAAGAAGAAGAGTTAAAGCAAAAAGAAAGAAAAAGTGAAATTGAGGAAAAAGAAAAAGAGTTAAAAGAGAAAGAAGAAAAATTAAAACAAAAGGCAAAAGAAATAAAAAAAGACCACAATGGAAGCCAAACGGGTGGCTGCCCAGCTCCAACTTATGGCTGAGCAGCTTGATCGTTTGGCCAACCGCATTCTTTCACAAGTGAAGAATGAATAATTTAATTTATATTTAGGCAAGTAAAAGCCTTAAGTTTGGAATGTTGTTGTTCATCGGACAACCTAAATATACAGTAATTGGCCTTTTACTATTTTTAAAAGGCCTTGTTTTGATAACATTACCCCGGAAAGAGTTTTTCCCTCGCGCACACCTAAAGCCTTCAGTTCTGACACCCATGATTAGGATTCCTGACTACAATTCGCTCACCTATTGTGACAATCAATAATTACATAATAAGAAAATATGATGCTTGGTCATGCATCTCTCTAACTATTTACTGCCTTCTACTCTTCTAAAAACGAGCTATTTTCCTGATAAATTGTCAGTTCAATGTTTTTTTAAAAAAAAACAGAATCCTCTGTACTTCACTTAAGGCCATAGTCAGGAGTCACAGGCCCCTACTGTTATAGTGTAACAAGTCAGTCTTATTCTTTTTAGTTTTTCTGATATTATTTCTAAAATGCACATAGCTACACTAACTACTATTTGCTTTTAGGTGAATATAATAACTTTATTAACAGCTTTAGGGATGATCCTTGGCGATTTCAATGTTGAGCTTCATAGCGCATCGAATTCTCTCCAATCGCATTGTGTTGAAGTTATTATCGTAGAATGGAACAAAGAAAAAGACCTAAAAGATAAAATGAGAAAAAAAAAGATCACATGAAAACTGTATTTGTCATGAATAAAAAATGAATTCATGGGTTATTAGTAACTTTTTTAGGGATGTTACTAAAACGGAGAACAGGGAACGGGGAATGGGGAACAGGGAGTGGGGATGAGACATGGGAAGGGGAAAATGAAAAATGGGAACATAACAGAGAATTTAAAATGAAGTTCCTGATACTGGGGCTGGATTTCAAGCTAGGTCTCATTCCAATTTTTCTTTTTGCATTCCTGGTACTCGTTCCCCGCTTCCAGTTCCCTGTTTTAGTAATAGTAGTAATATTTAATAATAGTCATTGCTTTTATTGCTCATTTTAACATTAAAAGATATGATCAAATGTGCATATTAAAACACTTGAACAAGACTAAAATAAAAGATATATTACACACTCTCTATATACTAAAGCTTAATCATTTGTTACATTTCCTTCCTAATAGGTAATTTAGCATAACTCATAAAAAGTAAGAAGTAAAAAGAGAAGATAAAAGTAGAAAATAAAAACCTACGATAGCTCAAGACAGGTCGCTATAGGCCTCTTTAAAATAGTGCGTCTGAGTCTTAAACTTATCAAAATCATTCTCTTTCCTAATACAGTCCAGTAAACCGTTCCATATCTTTGGAGCAGCTGCAGTGAATGATATGTCCCCAAGAGTGCCTTTGAACTTAGAGGTAGGGTTTTGCAAAATAACACCCACATTACTCCGCGGGTTATAGCGAGAACATCGTTTAATATGTGAGAGATTACTTAAATATGCAGGCCCCATATTGTATATCCCTTTTTTTGGTGAGCGTGTGGATGGAAATCAAGAGGACCCATGAGGAATCCCCAATTGGCGGGCAGGGAGAGTTTGTATCCAACAAAGTTTTGTACAGGTCTAAACCCTTACTTTTCGATACACCACTGCATGCTGACCATCAGGGTACCCCTTTAATAGACCTCAAAAAATGATTGGTCAATAATTGAATGACTTAAGCACATTTTTCTGTTGAGCCAGGACAGTAACCTCTTAAGATAGTTCAAATGATCATCTGTTAGGTGTCTCAATGAGAATTATGTGTGTTAGCTGGACCCTTTCAAGGCCTACAAGTATCATGTTTCAATAACTCTTTTCTATACCATGACGCATGAAATCCCACCCTTTCATAAACCTCAAGTGTGGGAAAATGTCAAAGCATTCCCATATAGTCCAGTATAAGAAGTACAGTTGTACCCCTGGGGAGGAAAAGAGAAGTTGAGAGAGTTTAACGGGTTGGACTTTGGGGCGGAGCCTCCCCGTATAAAATTTTGTTGGGTAGCCCGAGGGCATCAGCACAAAATGTTTCTTACCATGTTTAGCAGAAAAGCAAGTGGGATCATAAGAGGAAGAACCCCAGTGGAAAATGAGTGTGCCTGCAAGTTAAAACAGTCATATGAATAGATCTGAATAAGTTTTTTCCTCTTAAAGGAGTAGACAATCTGAGCTAAGAAACCAATCTCATTCTCACAATGTAGATTGCATGTCTGATCTAACCCATGGGAAGAAAGTATCTGTTTTCTTGCAGTATCTCTGATCCATGGAGATTGTTGTTCCCCCCAAAACATAGGCAGATTAGGGGCTAGACTGTTCAGTCCCCTATTTTCTTGTTACAATGTCAGGATAGAGCGCTCACCAGTATGGGTAGCCATCTTGGTTTCATATGTACTGAGGAGGCGGACATCACGGTTTTAAGGCAGTGGGGGGAGGGAGGCAAGTCTAATTCAAGATGGCCAACAGTAATGCAAAGTCTTCGATCTCAACGATCTTACGGAAAAATAGGGGCCTATGAACAGTCTAATAATGTTAGGGGCGGAGCTGGCCCTCCCTTTAGTACTTCCGTCTCATTTTTACAAAATGTAACTTTCAGAACATCTTTCTTTCAAAGTACACATTAAAATTCTCCCAGAGGTCTGATCAATAAAAATTATCTATCTTTACTCAAAAGTTTGAGCAGACAGGACAGGAGGGGGCATTCACCTAGGCCCTGCGTATGGTTCCCTCTTTCGGAATGTTCTGGATCCAACCCTGCGATTTTGAGATTCTTTTTATTTTGACAAAATAATTTATTATCTATTCTAAAAGTAACAATTGATAGACAATTTTGACCAGTGGGAGGTTGGATTAAAGAAGTTGTAATGGGAGGAATACAACAGGGAACTTACAATGCCTCCAAGGTATACTTTACCTCCAGAGAATTGCCAAACTGGTACCAATGTGATATTGGGCATACCCAATGTGTAATTTCAAAATTCTGGGAAAGGTGACCCATATAGACCAGTTCATATTGACTAAAGGAGTACTCTACATTCTCCAATTTATAGAAAGGAGGATTGATAATGGGTGACAGTCATGGAACAATGAACAGATGATTCTAGATCTCACAAAGCCAACATTAGCTTAGGGGTATTAAACACCTCTAGGTAGGCAAGTTTCAGATTATCTATTACTATAGCTGGCTAGATTCACTTGTCTACATCTACATGAGGCTGTTTCAGGCTCTCCCAGAGTGGGGATGATTGACAGAAAAAAAGAGCATTAAAAAGAGTATTATTTTATCCAGGGTGCAAAGAAAATCATTTTTAAAGCTTACCATTCGGGCAAGCTGGAGCTCGAATATACTAGCCTAAACGTCATTTCAACTAGCCCCAAAACATTTTGATGAGCAGAATTGATTTCACAGTTCTTCTGTAATTTGAATTCCTAAAAAAACTTCACTTGCCCATTGGGCAAGTTAAGAGCAAAATTCACTAGCCCGATAGCAAAATCCACTAGGCCCAGGCCATCGGACAGTACTGTCTTTGCACGCTGGTCTAATATCTCACTCACTTTTCTGTCTGCAGCTGCTTGTTCCAGCTTACTGAGATCCTGCAAAAGGCTACAACTATGTTTTACTGTATAGCAGGCCCTAAAATCTAAGGGCATGGCAAGGGGTTTTCCATTAGAGAGAATTATTACTTCATGATTCTGACTATGGTAAATAGATACCTTTCCTAATGTTCCCCTTTCCTGTCCTGGTTGAAATTCAATTTCCACTATATCCAGCCACTCAAATTCAGTATAGGAATAAATCTGAACAAAATTTCTGTTGGGTCGCACCTATTTATAACAAACAAATACAAAACATAAATAAACGATCATGAATTCCTCAGTTTAAAAAGACAGCTCTGACTGACTAGTACCATGACTGAAAAAAACCTTAAAAGCAGCTAGACCATGCCCTCAACCTTTTTTAAATACTTACAATTTTATTTAGCAAAATGTTTATCTCTAATAATTCTCTAATAATAAATTATAATGTCTTGTAAGATACATGCCTTCCAAGTATCAATTTTATTCGAAAGGAAATATTATTCTAAGTGCGCAAAAATTAATTTATAAAATGTTTCTGCACAATAATGATGATAAGATGGATCAAATTAAACAGGATGTGAAGATATATTATTATGACTAAATTGAAAAACATAATTTTTTAACAGGGCTATGCTTTAGCAGTGAGGGGTAGCTCCTAGCGTCTTACTTTTGCTCTTGGGCAACTAGCTCTAGAGGAAATCTTAGTTTTTCCATAAAACTCATAAGCTGGGCACCCTGGATTTTGCGGGGTTCAGAGCTGTTGATGCGGTGAACGCTGGTCTCCCTTCAATTTTCCTTAAAGCACAGCCTTGTTTAACAATACTTTATGTATCTTAGAGCATTTGTTATTACTTGCCTTATGTATGTGCATTTTCTCTCTTTCACCTAGCAAAGCAACAGCTGATACCAGATTTTCCAAACAAACTTCAGGAGTTGCATCTGGTATTATCCAGCTGTGGTTATATAAAAGGACAAATATTATTAAAATTCATTAAAAGTATGTTTATTTTGAAGCTGAAGTCATCAGTATTGTATCATTGACAGTGTCTTAACTTAGAGGTCCTCAATCTCATTCAATATGGAAGGAATATTACAAATTTTCCATTTAGTTTACATAGGTGTATATCAATTTAGAAATTTTCCTTCAGGTAATGACAGGAAATTTGTCCACATGCGCGAACGGGCATGCATGAGATAGAAGTTTTCGGACAGTAATTTAGGGTTCCAATAAATTATTTGAAGTTCCACAATGCTGAACAAATTATTAACAGCTTTGAGGCCTCTGGCAGTGGTCTCCCTAAATTTCAGCTCATTAGGTAAGGGACCTTTCTTGATGGGTAAGGCCAAAAAAATTAATATGCACCAGAGGGGTACTCTCCTGGTGGGGGAGCTTTGTGTTCTTGAACTGGCTGTTATTTTTGAGCATCCTCTCAACCAATTGACCGAAAAGTATTACAAACACCTCGAAACAAAGAATTTTATGAATCAAGGCTGCCTTTGCTGCTAGGGTCAATTTATATAATAAGTAACACAAGACGCAGAGGTCCCAAACTTTTCTTGCTGGTCGAGAAAGTGTAGAATTGGGACAGAAGCCCATGAAAAAATTGTTAGCCTGCCGTGCTTTGAAAGAAGCCAGTCTGTGAGTGAGTAATCAGCGAGATTAGCTGTGTATACTTCTTGTTTTTTCCTTATTTATCTTCCTTTTCTTGTGAGGATCGGCTTGGATAGTAACACTTCAAGTGGTTGCAGGTGGTAAGAAGTGTTGCTTCAAGCGGTAAATTTTACTGGTTACCGCCTGATAAGGAGCCCACTGCTCTGGGGTAAAAACTTTTAGGATTTAGTTAATTAGCTGGCACTTACTCTTTGCTGACCTGAGAAAAAAAATGTTAATAGTGCAAGTATAATGTTTTATACAGTCATGTGTTAAATAAAATATTTCTTTCAGGTCTTTTTGCCATTCTTTTTATTTCGTTATTTTAGCTCCAATCATTCACCTTTTCCCACCTGGGAAAATCCTGTTATTATTGGGGGTATCACAGCTAATATTGTAAAAGTTTATGAAATATAATAAAATTGGTTTTGCTTTATTAACTCAAGTTTATCAAATAATTCACATGTCTTGCATAACTGCCAAAAATGGATAGCTGATTTTTGTACCAAGCAGACAAAAAAATAATCAATAATTCAGTTTTTTTAGAAAAAATGTTTCTCAGTCTCTGAAAGCGAGCCATTTTGATAAGTGACACATGAATTTTAAAAACACTTTGTATTTATATGCAAATCACTGAAGACTGCATAAATGCAATTTTTAAATATTGGTTTAAGTGTGATAGATGAATTTCATTTTTTTTGTATTCTCTGGACAGCTTTATAACATGTGATGTTCAGCATTACAAAATATTGAAGCATATGAACTTTTACAAATAATGTATTACTGACAATTTTTAAGTATAGCTGCAGCAATAGATTATGAAGTCAGTCTCTCTTTGGATTTCATCGAATGGATATTCCTCGTAACATAATATTATGAAGATGCTTTGGTTTAGTCTTTATCTTACAACACGACTTCAGACCAGTTGGGCTTTTATTTGTTTATTGTCTACAAGCTAGAGTATATAGATGTCCACAGAAATAAATGACATCAGTAGGTGCAAAAACACTGTATTTTGACCTTCTTCAGTCTAAAAAAGTGAAAAGCCTAGTTTTAAAGATGATGGTAAACTATGTAGTTTAGGAAAAGTCATCTTAAAAAGTACAGCAAAGACTTCACGTCGCACTTGAAGAACAAAGTTATAATGTAATCATATTAACTTGAAGTCCTTTTGAAAAGCGAGCTTACTTTTTTGAAATTCTGTCAAAGTTGTACATACATAGCTATACATGTAAGTACTGACGTCTGCAGCGTACTCACGTTTCCTTTTTGCTATGAAGATTCCTGATCCCTGGGAGCCAAACAGCTGGCCTAATAGCTGCCTGAATAGGTGACTGCCACATCGCACAGCAACAGTCCGCGGAAGACATCGTTAAAGAGCTACAGTATTGACAACCTCGTTCTTTTCGAAACCAAAGAAGTAGAATTTAACGAACACTCGCGACCCACGCCAACTCAAAACAGACCACAGCTCACGTCAAATTCACCAAATTGATGTACCAGAGTGGTATATAGGAACTGCGATACAATCTCCAGTAAAGTATTGTCTTAAAGTGTTTTGTAAGTCACGTAATTCTATATATGAAGCCAAAGAAAACACTTCACGAAAATTCAAAATGGAAATTTCGTGACACACAGCGAAAATATCCCAGGCGTCAACAAAGCAGCAGGCGGCTTGGTAATTAGCGAAGTCGTTGTCATAGTAACAGACAACTGTTCTTTTTCCGCCATGTTTGAAGTCAAAACAATTAGGAGCGAAGGAATCTCGAGTTTTTTACCTGCTGCTCTAGAAGTCTATTAGGATGTTTAATTAAAAATCAACCAGTTCATTGTTGGAACTATGGCTGTTGCATTGACGTATTCGAAAGAACCCCTGAACTCTACAGAAATTGAACTGGAAGTGGATGGCCCTGATCAAGAGGTTTCAGATGCCATGGGACTTGAGAGCGCGTCTCCTGATATGGACAAACCAAGGTCACGCAGTTTGTCAATTTCTAATGTTGCTTATCAGCTTGAAAGAGATGGCATGGCGTCGCCTATCGTGAGAGCTTTTGCACGGAGTGCTATGAACCGCTGGCGCGGAAATGTGGAAAAGAAGATAACTAAAAGACTTATGGAGGTGAAAGCGGAGAGAAAAAAACGCGATGCCGACGCCAAAGAGATCGCGCAACTTGTTGCTAGAACAATACCTCTTGACATTTTGGCCAGAGACTGGCTCAATGATAATGATATTACTTCAGAAGTAAGGGTGTATTTGTTAGAAAATCTTATGCCAACTTTGATATTGGGAGTGGAGAAACTGCTAGGCGAGGTTGAAAAGAAAGGACTTACTGACTCTGAAGGCTTCTGTCCAACTTTTAATCCTATCAATTACCTGGCTCAGTTTTTAATGAGAAATAATCCTAGGTATAGCAATTTTGCAGAAGCATCACCTTATGCAAAAGGTGTCCGTAAGGTTGTGGATGACCTCAAAAGGGAGGTGTTTTCATTGGAGGATAACAAACTGGCCAAACTTAAGGCTGAGGCCAAAAAGCGACGTGAAGCAAGGGATAAAGAAGAACACCTGAGGAACATGGAAAACCGTCGTCGTTCCATTGCTGTGGAGGAAAAATTTCCTGAGTGGACGGGGAATTGGAATGGTGCTCTGCCACTATCAGTTGTGAGTGAGACATCAATAAATTAAATGTGTTTTAAAACACATTCGCCCCTGACCCACCTGTCGCTGCCTGTGCAGATCCACCCTCCTTGTACCACTCATGACGTCATCAGATTTAACATTCAAGGGCAACTTTGTCATCTAACTTGTGAGGGGAACAAGATCTTTCAAACCTAACCAGAATGAGCATGATTCCGTCAAAGAGACTGAAGAAAAATGTGAAGAATAAAAACAAGAAAAGTTGACCCGAAAATTTCATTGAAAATTTTGTTCCTCTGCCCACCTGCACTTCTTTTCACTTACATCTTAAAAGCTTTCTGCAAACCTTTAGCCTCAAAAATGAAGCCTAGTAAATTCCTAGCAAAAGAAAAAAACAGGGCAAGAAAACTAAGCAGAAAATTTTTGGAAATTTTGCTTTCTGTGCATGCCTGAACTTCAGAAGCTGATATTTAGCATCTGAGACAGAGGGCCACAAAGTGCTCATCTTATAAATAGCGTACTGGACAGTACTGGCGAGACAGTGATTGGGAAATTTTATTCTGAATCTTCTTCTGCGTGGTTTTCTAGATTTTGCCACTCTTTCAGTCTTGAGAAAAGAATTTTTCCTGTTCTAATAGACCAGGCCTATTAAAAAAATTTGGTGCATTTATTTACTAGGTTCAGAATGTGCTCAAATCATTTGAGGAGGAAATTGCTGTTTCTCTTCCAGAGGAAGTCAGGAAAGGTGTGTAACTGCTGTTGATAAAACTGGCTTAAAACACTCACAAAAAAAAACCAAGAAGTGGATGTGCGTGTAATTTCTAGGTTACTTTTATGTTAGCCTGCAAACAAAGATGTATTTCCGGTCATTGCTTGTCTTTCTATATTGTCTTGTATATTAATTTTGTTTTATAATGACACCAGGGTTATTAAATGTACAGTGGCATATAATGTAAACAATATTATTTAATTTCACCATTCCCATATCAAAGTCCTCTAAATTGTATGTTTCTACAGATGGCAAAATTTGTTTTTCCAGGAGACTTAATTTAGCATGGAATTATTTTTTTTAGGAGCAGCATTTCTGATTCCTCTTGAACCAACAGACTCCACTGGTAAAATGGTTAATATGCAGCAATTTAAAGATGTAAGGAACTCATTGCTATTAGTTAAGACATTGTTAAAAAAGTTTCCAGTTTTAATCTTTAGCATTTATGTGTACGATACGCGTATCTCTGAGTTTTCTAGCTTTTAAAACCAGAAGGGCTTGCTTTGCCTTGATGTTGTTTATACCTGTCAACCTCTGTTTGAGTCTTTAGCCTGAGATTTTTATGTGAGGGGTCTGGCTCTATATAAAGGGTTAAATTCCAACTAGTGACATGGCCTTGAAACAGCAACATAAAGGACAGATGAAATCACAACAAATGACACAATGTTCGGTTGAAAGGACAAGTCAGCAACAAAGACAAGCCTATATAAATACGGTTGCAAAATAATATCAACGAGGACATGGCTTCGCCCTCATAACTATGTGAAAGTGCAAGTTTTGAAATTCAGAGTAGGGACAATAATGTTATATTCCTTCCCTAAGAGAGTCTAAGGGGTGACAGGATATTTTTGTTGTGAACCAGGTCATATCTGACCATTTTAGAAGACTTTCTGAAGATTTCTGAACTTTATAATAATACATTATAGTGCGCAATTTTCCATAAAAATGTTCAAACTCATCCCAGAGAGTTCTAAAGTCCTCAAGAAAATGATTACCGGTATGCCCTAGTCTGTGCAGACTGTCAAAGTCAGAGATTATTGGAAAAGTATTGATCAATCAACTTTTCTTTTGTACAATTGCTTTACAGTACATTAGACCATATGCTGGTAATCTATCCAAGGAAGCTTTCAATGCATTTGTGGAGCACTTGTCACGTTGTGCAGCTCATTACAGGACTGCCACTGTTAAGGAAGCAATGAGGTGAAAAACCTTACCTAAATATAAACAAAACTGTACTGTAGGGGCTAATATATTACTGCTTATGGCACAATGAAATGTCATTAAAATTCAGAATTATTATCTTTACTAAATATTATTATTATCATTTTTTTTTTTCAGATTAACTTTGAGGAATCTTTTCTTGAGTTGTGACATGAAGAATGTATGTGAGAACGCTTAATTGTAACATGTCAGTGGTAGCAACCATTCATGATTCTACTTTTTGCATTATGTGTCCTCATTTTTGCACTGTGTTCACAATAAACTGCATTGCTCTTAACCAATCAGATTCAATAAATTTTTGTATGTATACTATTTTTTAATTCACAATTCACTATATCATTTAAAAACAATGCAAGAGGTTTCTTATCAATAATCTATTGTTTTATCTGTTCTTTTCTTTATATTACATTAGGCTGGCATGGTGGATAGAAAACGCATTTTGAACATTCTCTCCTCCTTTTATGACAATGCAGCAGATGCTGTTAGGAGCTCTTTGCAGAACCCAAGAAAATGTAAGTGAAACAAATTCTTAGTATAACTTTTTAAAAGCCCTTTCTCTGATTGGAAGAAAACAACATCAGCATAGTGCAATTTGAATGGAAGTGGCACAGCAGAGTTTCTCTTAAAATGAGATCTCACCAGAAAGATAAATTGTGTCCTAATCAAACAGATTAAAAACAATGATACAGTCCTTTAAGTAAGCTTGCATACCTAAGTTTGCTTGAATTTTACTGGTGACGTATTTTCTACAAACTCGCTCTATCATTTTATCATCTGCTTTTGCTGCTTTGAACCATTCAGACACAAACATTTTTACTCACTTATAGTTTTTTGTATCACCATTATCATAATATTTGCTTACGTTGTAAGCTCCCCAGTTCAACTGGAAGCCATTAAAATGTTTAACTTCCAGTCTTGGTAGAGATGTACATAATGCTAAAATTTACAATGACCCAAGTGAACCTACAGTATCTGTAGAGATAATTATAAATGGTAATTTTAGAAAGGTAGTGAGGCCTAAAGTCTTAAAACGTGGTGAAGATACTCTCTGAGGAGAATAGCATTGCATGGCTCTGTAAGGAAGTCTGCAAGGGTAGGAGAATAAATTAAATGTTTCAATGGTGCATTGTCATGTTTAGGGCCTGTTTTGGAAATAGAAGAAACTAGTGATGAAGATGAAATGATGAACGTTAAGCAAGACGCTGGAACAGGAACAGACGACCAAGAGAAAGAACAGACTGAAGAAGAAGGACAAAAGGAGAAACCATCACAAGATGAAACAGCTGGGGAGGAGGAGAGTGAAAATGCTGAAAAACAAACTTCAGATGAAGAAAATAAACAAGAGACAACGGGTGAAGAAGTGATGCAAGATGGCGAAGCAGGGGAGAAAGAGGAAAATAAAGAAAATGTTGAAGAACAAGCTGAAAATCAAGAAGATAAACCATCAGGTGTGTTTTGTATTGGTTCAGGTAAGATAATTGTAAGATTGTGGATTCCACGCTGTTAATTACGGATTCCACGTGCTGAATTCTGGATTTCTCCTTTTAAGTAGACTTGGATTTGGGATTCCAATCAGTAGCAGGATTCTGGATTCCTTGAGCTGTATTCCAGATTCCACAAAAAAAATTCCTGGATTCCAGATTTCACTAGCAAATATTTCCCAGATTCTGGAATCTGGAAAGCCCTACATATGCATAAGGCGATTTCAGAAACTTATTAGACTGAACAGAGAAACTGCAAAGGGTTAAAGTTCAGGATTGTCTGTAATTCTGATGGAAACGTGGATGAGATTTAGCTCTATTTTTTTTTTACCAATATCATTCAAAACCTTAATATATGGTATTGCCGGTAGTTTTCAAAACTGCCCAGCAAAATTGTAGTTCTAAGCTCTTAAAGTATTCTCAAGTGTAAATTCAGTTAGTTGATCCGTGTGTTTTATATTCGATTAGACACTTCTTTTCTATTATCAACGCTTCTGAATCAGACAATCTTCTTATAATGCTGCTTTATTCAAATGTCTCATAAACACTCCCCTGAATAATTTGTAATTTCAGATGAAAAGATTGATGAAAAAGACAAGCTGAAACAGACTGAAGAAAAAGACATTAAAAAGTTAATGATAGATGATGAGGAGGAAGACAGGAAATTGTTGGAATCCATCCCTGATGAAAGTAAGTCGTGTCTAATGTTGATATTATCAAAGGTGCTATGTCACGAGTACATTGTTGTTAGGTCAATTTTGTGCTTGAGTCATTTATACTTAGTTCCTTACCCATACACAAAAAGCTCTTCTGGAGTTATAACGACTATATACATAAATTCCATCACGGAGATTTTTGGTGATTTTTGCAGGCATTAAAACTTGGCCTAGTTTTTTCAAGTTTTAATCCATGTTCTTTCTTGCCATTCGTAAAGCAACCAATGACAGTAAACAGGTCAGTCCCTCAATATACTCTTGAAAACCAAAACTGGACCATTATTTTTGGAATTCAGTGGGTGCAAGAAACGTTTTCGCTTGTTAAAAAGACAGCAAATTACGTAGCATAGACCCTTTAAACTTTGAAAAGCCTGACTAAAATTGTTTTAGTCAAGTAGCGTTTTCATGATTTGGCTTTGACTGGTGGGTTATATCACAAGTCCGGTGCTTTGTCCTCCTAGCCACACTCCCTCCTTTATGCATAATGATAACATGAGACACTGATGAGAAAGTGTTTCAATGCTTTTCTTCCTTGTTCATTAGTTGACGATCAAATGTCCGATGACGAAGACACAGAGACATCAGCCAGTACACTGCCCAGGCCCAAATCAGCCACTGAGGGATCGGCATTTGATGAAAACTCATTAAATCAACCTCAGTTTATACATCTGCTGGAGAAGTTTCTTGGAGATGTTCCAATCAAGTAAGTTGGGAATCGCACGTTTTTTTCGAGCACTCTCCATTAGAATTCCGAATAGAGTGGATTTTTGATTTCTGATGTCATTCTTTTGAAGACAAACACCAAATACAAAAAAGGATTTTGCCCCACCCTCTGGCTTTGTAGTTGTTTGGGAAATCAGCTCCATATGAGAATTTCTCTATCGAAAAATTAAAAGACGTTAGATGCCCAATCATCGAGCAAGCATTTGGTGCAAATCAGAGACAAAAACGTGCAAATCTCAAGTCTTGAGCTAAAGAACCTTGACACAAGGCATATGCTTTGCATTTACTTCCATGTATGCCGAGATAAAATTTAATCTTGTGACACTTCTTTCGTTAGTTCTGGCGAACCTTTTTTAAGAAACAAACCTCTGTTATTGCTCCATAACTCCTTTCCTTAATACGAATGGCTGCATAACACAGGCTTGATTGTATTTGTTTCTTTCAATATAGGTCAGTATTCGATGATCTTGTGCGATTTGTAAGAGCTTCATATATTGAGACAGACGATGAACGAATAGCGAGGATGAACAAGGTATGTGTACGATTGGTAACAACTTCCTATTGCATCCCCGTCGCATGTGTCTCGCGCTCCGCGCCTGCTACGCGAATGCCTTCACTCGCCTAAAAAACGCTAAAAAATAACGCCTGTTGTACATGTGCAGGCTATATTGCATTATACAAGACAAACACAACCTTTTATTAGTCTGTCGAGCATGTTCACTGTCGTGGCACAATTCGCACCAAGGCAAAACCAAGCACTCCTAATTGAAAGCTCACTCAAGATAATCTGGACTTGGTTTATTGCTGTGTTCGCAGGCTCGCATGGAAGCACGTTCTGCCAAGAGGCGCCGTCAGGTTGATTTGCTGTATGAGTTGTGGGATGTGAACGCTTCGGGATACCTCGAGCTGGAAGAGATACAAGTTGTATTGAACAAGTGGCGCTCGGATGGAATTGAACATTTTAAAGAAGGTAGATACGACTGATTCAGCCAAGAAACTTTCGTTAGATGTATGTACATGTATGTGAGATAGGTCCTTTTAAGTTATGATGGTGTTACTGCTGTTATCATTAATGATGATGATGATGATGACTGGTGATCATGATGATGACGATGATGATGACGGTCATAGTGATGATTGACGACGATGAAGGACATGATGGGTACACGTTGTGCAGAGGTGGTCGTCTGTATTTAAATCCACTGATAAGCCTTTACTTTGCTTTTACACGATTTTAAACTAGGACGCAGGTTTTTGTGCGGCTCAAGACGTGTTAAGACGTAAAAACTCTTACCGTTACTTACATTTCTTTTCAGCTCTGGAAATATTTGGTCGAGTTGACAGCACTCTCAACAAACGCACATTCCGTGAGTGTCTGGATGCCATAGTGAAGTCCTTTACAGACGAGGATGTCTTTGAATCACTTATCGAATTTCTTACCAAAAGCGTGGAGGTAAGAACGTAATATAATTTACCTTCTGTTTCTATGTTATTGCCGCCTTCCTCCCTTTGCTTGGGTGCCACCATTGATTCGCAGTCAGATGGTTTCAAGAGAAAACGGATGTAGCAACAACATTTTGGACTGGTTACGCTTTCTTATTTCGCGGCAAAAATGTATAAGTATTAATATGAGTAGTCGGTCGAAGAGATTAAACGATTTTTCCCCTTAATTTCTCCATGGTGAAACGAATGTTAGTGTGTTGGCTATTAATGTCGTTAAAAAAGCGATAGCTTCATGTACTGAATGGAATAAAAAAGGTGTCTTCTACACAACATTGATGAAATAGAACCTCAGGACTAAAGGGTTCTCATGTTGTTCTAACCAGGTATTTTCATGGCGTCCTTTTCTCTCTTTTCCGCGAACAGCATGAAAAGATCCGGTTAGAACGATATGAAGGCCCTGAGGTTTTATTATGTCATCTTTATGTATATGACATCTTCTGTATATCACTTAGAACAGGACGTTATCGCTTTGTTCTTAATTCCTTTTAAATGATTTTCTTTTCAGCGGTCATTTGAAGAGCGCAAGCGTGGTGATGCACGGAAAAAATGGATGACAATGATTGATGCCGCTGCACAGACCGGCGGCGCACAACTCGATCCAGTCTACCGCGCGGTGTACCATGTTCTTAACAAAGATGCAGAAGAGCATGGTAGAGGAAAGATCATCAGCTCCTCAGTCAGCATGCTTGAAAATAACGATGATCCATACTTGTTGCACCGTGGGGAAACAGTTTTACGTTATGTTTCGTGTACTATGGATGACATCCCTCATGTGCTTGGCAAAGTATTGTACAGGGACATGAAAGCGATAAGCTGGGCTGTGTTGGACTCTGGAAAGCCTATTCACGTGCCTAAAGTATCCACTCACGCTGGAGTGACGATGTGGAATCCTTACAAGAGAGAGGAGGTCAGAACAATATTCCTGTAATTTGGGTCAGTGGGCTTTAAAAAGTGACCCCTCCCTCACGGGCATGTTGTAATTTCCTAATTTAACTGAATTTCGTGACACAGTGCCTTTAATACTTTGCTAAAACGGGCTGTTCTTGTTTTTCAGGGCGGAGATGGCTCTTTCATCGCTCTCCCTCTCAAAGATCACGAGCGAAGAGTTATCGGAATCCTGGGTATCGACACACTAGCAGATCCCCACAAACCAGTGTTTATCACGCATGAAATAAGCTTCTTCCAGGGCGTGGCCAAAGCGCTTAGCCAGGCCATTCAGTTTGTTGATATCCGCCGAAAAACCCTCCGAGTTGCAGAATCAGCTGTCTCTTGGATACTTCGGCGTAGTCCCAATGTACAAAATGTTAATGTGTATATGGTGGAACCCGGATTAAAGGTGAGTTAAAAGACTGTTGCTGACTGAATTCCCCTTGCGTCACTTATCCTCCGTTTCTTTGAAACAAATATGAAGGCTCGCGTCGCCCATATATTTAGTTCTTGTGAAAAGAAGTCTTATGTTTGACATATCCACTCTACCAGGGTACGTTTCCAAAAAGAAATTGGTGATCGCCACTCAACATGGACAAAAACTTTGTGAGACACTCTATAATGCACCCTTAGCCTAAGAACACTGCCATCTCCACTCGCTCCTTGCGCCCGTAGTTAGTGGTGAAGAGCACGGAGAGACGGCTGTATTTGCGGGTAGACTGCCTGTACGGCGTCTTCCCAAACGTTCTCGGTCAATGCATTACCCGAAACGCATCGGCCACGCGCAATAATGTGGCCTAAACTGTCACATGGAGTTGAAAGCATATTCTTGTCTTAGTTTTGCATTGTTTTGATATATGACTAGTTGAAGTATCTCACGCCGTACTACTCTTCTTGATTATTTATCAAAGAATTTTCAATTTGTGTTTACATTGCGCCTTTATTTTTCTTTTTTAGCCGACTGATGGATTGGTTCTTCGTCGAATGATGACTTTGGCTCATAACGGAGTTAGTCAACACTACACAAGTCCACCAAGACTGGATAGACGAGATAACCTGTTCAGGTAATTTAAGAAAATTAGTTGACCCTCTACCCAATGCGGAAACCTTTTTATCATAAACAATTCACTCGCACTCGGTCAAGAAGGGTTAGCCACAGGGTACAAAGACACTTTGCTGGGACGCAAGCAACGTAGTGGGACCTTGAAAAGAAAGGAAATTATCCTTTTTGGTTACGCAAGTCCTTTTTTTTCTTGCCTCGCTGCGTTGCTTGTGACCCAGCAACGTTTCTTTTGTGTCGGCTGGTGGTTGTTTAGCTGCCAAGGGCTCTTTCATTTTGTAAAGTTCACTTCTATTATACATACACCAGCGCCATACCGAGCATATGTACCGACCGTCACTTATTTGATGAGCAAGCAACCAAGTAAAAGAGCTGAGGTCCAATATCATGATGCAAATTTTTCTTCCTTTTCATTGGCCGGGAGCCCACCATGTGACCTGCAACTAACTGCCTATAAATAATGGTCTGCTCATGCGCAATGTCGTCCAACTGTGTTTGGCGGCAAATCAATCTCGACTTCTGCGCATGTAGAGGAGAGAGATCAAAACACCACCACTGACAAGACACGATATTTGTGATAACCGAGTTCAGTAACTGTTAATTATTTGCTCAATAATGTTGAGAATTTTTCTGTTATTCGATTTCAGGGACTACTTGTTCAAATGTGTAGAAAGTTCAGAGACCATCACCGCGGACGCTTACGGTGAGCGTCATATGGCCTTTCCCCTCAGGGATGGGGAGGGTAAAGCTGTTGCTGTGGTAGACATCAGTATTGGCGAACTGAAGGCCCTCCCGCCACACGAGAACAGAGAAATACAGCGCATGCTCAGACTTCTGGCTATCGCACACAGGGAAGTGGCGCGAGAGATCACCACGGGTGCAGCTGAGAAAAATATTGTTTTAGGTGAGTTGAAATTCAGTTCGTGCTACCTTTAGAGTAGTTTCCAGTTTAGTCTCATAAAACATTGAAGTTCTCACTTTTACCAATCACAGACGCATGAAATTTTTTGTCAGTTTTTAAGCATTTTACCTCTATTAAGTAACAACTGTTGGTTTGGTTATTTAGAGGTGGAAAAAGAATACGAAGACGCTCGCATTGATGTGCTGTTTGACAGACTTATGCTTTTGGACCTGAGAGAGAATGTTGGAAGACTGGACGCCAGGTAGTTTTTTATTTCCCTGCTGACAGTGGGAATGGTGACTCACATTAAGCGAGATGATGACCCTCTGATCCATTAAAGAAATGGGAATATCAATAAACGAATAGCGTGCCCTACCACCCTCTTTATGCTACAGTCACCTAAACTATTGTGTTGTTCTGTTGTCAAGCACACTGCCTTCTCCAATTCGGGTTTGGTACATGACAATGTGCGGTCTCGTTTTCACTTGGGCTCTTCGGCGCGAGTTTGATGTCCCTAAATGGATTGTCTGGGTTCGGTCGAATGGTCCTATTCCATAATAAGAACCCAGAAAAAGATTTCCTCAAATTTCTTCTATAAATTGCTACGGGCATTTTAATATTTTTTGTCATATAAATTTGCGGAGGAAACGAAAGAACGATGACTTTTACTCTTGGCCCAGAGTAAGAACAGATGGACCCGATCTAAGGTGCACCTCTACGTATGGAGACCAGTGAACTGTTACTGAGAAAAGTGGGAGGGCTTTAATTTCAGATACCTCTCTCCTGGAAAAGAGTCTCAGTACTTATATTCTTATTAATTTAATTGTTTAGAGCCTTCGCTGAGATCAAAAGTTACAAAGATCCGCCTAAAGTGATCCACGACATTTTAAAAGCCGTGTTGGGAATCTTCTACGTAGACCCGCAGCAGCAGGAACGATTTAACGAATGGAGAGAGTGTAAACAGCTAGTAAACGCAGACCTGGTCCGTCTCATCACATCCTACGATCCCACAGCAAGGAGCAACGCACGTGGGGTGGACGCCAAGTCGCTGGCAGGAAAACTTCAGCGTAAGTTTGTCCAAAATTCATCTTCTCTGCTTTACGACTTTGTTTGACCCAAGAATTATCTTATTTTAAGCAACACCTCTCTGGGTAACAGGCATCTTGAAGACAGATTGCCGTCATACTGGACAAGGTTGAGATCTGACTGTAAGCTACTCTCAATGGAAGACTGGGATGCTTCCGGTCACAGTTGTAATGATTATGGAAAACGAACTGGCGTAGCCTATGTACAGACGCCCCCTCCCCTGAAAAAAAGGGGGAGGGGGCGTCTGTACACAGGCTAGAACTGGCGCAATAACAGTAACACTTACCCAGTCGGTCCTAACAGTAAAATGGCCACACCTTTCGATTTAATCCATAGCAGTTGTAACCTGAGATCAAGCCCAGTGTTAGCGGTTCTTATACATTCTCTCTAACGGCTACCGTTCGTTTCGCCTTGCCCGCCGGAATGTTATTACAAAGCGAAACGAAAATTGAGCCCGATCTTAGGTTATAGCAGTTGAATCTATCAAGCGGAGCTACTGAAAAGTACTACTAGTACTTCTCATTGGCTCCTTTTGTGTTGAAGTGATCTTACACAACCTCTAACACAAACATACTCTCTCAAAATACTCAAAATACACTCTCAATTGGTTCAAATAGTAGGCTTGAAAATTAAGTGTTTTCCTTTTCTTTCAGGTGTGCCCCAAGGACAAGTGGCCAAGCACGGCTCCTTGCCTGCTCAGTTTCTGTTTAACTGGGCCTTTGTTTGCTTATCATTGATCGAACACACGGAGAAGATGAGCGAAACAAGGCCAGGAAAAGTCGTGAGCCCGCAGGCGAAAAGCGAAGTGGTCACCGACATAGGCAAAGGACGACCGTCGCCCCAGGATACTACAACACGGTCTGAAATGACGGACTAAACGGGGTCCAGGTGGAGAAATATCCCGTTCAGTTCTACGCTTCTCAACATCTCAGTGGTAGCTCTGAGTTGGTTAATTGAGAAACTGCAACGGAAAGCAGTTAACCGTGTTTTATCACAATATTTATTGGTCACTGAACAGTTAGTAGTCAGTATTCAACAAGCTTTCTACCTGTATCGAGCCTGTGTATAGAAAAGTGTTTGATTTTCTCGTGTAGAGTAAAATTCGAAGGGGACAGACGTTAAATTGTGCCTAGAAATGTGTGTCATAAAGGAGACAAACTGCATGCCTCAAGTCATCTGTAAAGTTGTATAGGAACAAAGTACTCTCTAAGAAACTGTTAAAAAAAGGTTTTCAATTTGAGTTCCGTAAAATACCATACTGGTCAGTGGTAGAACCTTTTTGTAGGAGTCACCCAGAATGTTAGCACAGTTACTGACGAGGCTAGATATAGTCTTAGTTTGGTGTCCGAAACAGCGATGTGTCCCATGTGACAGATTGATTGGGGTTTGTTGCAAACTATGAGTATCTGCTGAATCTGCGAAAAGACTCTATTTGATATCAATTTGACATAAACTTGGACTCAGACGAACTCTTAAAACTAATAACTGCATGGAATTGTTTATTCCCTTAACGGACACCTAATTTGAATGAATATTTTCTAATATTTTTGTAGATATTTTTGTACATATTTGTATCGGGAAACTAAGTAACTGTGCCAGCTTCTTGCGACCCATTCTTGTTTGTGATTCTGTCGAAAAGCGGTTTCCCGTAGTTGGAAATAAGTATGCTTTCCAGATAATGAAATAAAAATTTATTTTCGTACATAACTTGGTCTTCGCTGAGTTGTTCTTGCAAATGGTGGGTAGGGCAGGGATTTGCCGTTCCTCTTTGATTTCACGACGTAATTTCAGAGCGTCACAAAAACACATTTTTTGTAGCACGAGCTTTTTCATGAGAGTTTCAAAGGCTTATCCTCAATGCTCAGTGCAAACATCAAAATGACCTTAAAATGAAAAGTTCTGCGCGTTTTTTAAGCATTTATCTGAATTTAATTCGAATTTGAAACTAAGATTAAATAAAGCCTCTGGTTGGGTGATAGACGGACTCCTCCCGATCCCGTTCCGCACATTTAAGCGTATGCTGGCCTTGCTGGGTAGTATTAAAAAACTGAGTGGCTAGAAAGCGGGGTTGGCGTAATTTTCTAGTTTTGTCTAGCATGGATTCTGCAAATGAATGCTGTCGAATTTGCAATTGTCAAAAGATTATTTACACGTGCGTACATATTTATCAGCTCGCATTCTCCAAAAAGACTGGACGGAGCGCATATTCAGCTCTGTCCAGCGGATTTGACTACGTTGGTAAGTACTTCGTATATGGCAATTGGTTCACATGTGAGGAAAGGAAGAGACTGATCTCCTTGTTGATCTTCTTCAATTGGTAGTAATATCTTATTTAATATCCGGATATTTCATCATGGGTATCCTTGAAAAAATCGCTGAGATAGAGAGCGAGGTATACAATTCGATTTGATGCCAAATTTATCCGTTTTAGGCGCCAATATCAGTAATAATAATGTGAAAATTTTCTGTCGACTTCAGATGGCGCGAACGCAGAAGAACAAGGCGACCGCTCATCATCTTGGATTGTTAAAGGCTCGGCTGGCGAAGTTACGACGCGAGTTGATCACGCCAAAAGGCGGAGGGGGAGTTCAAGGAGAGGGTTAGTGAAAGATCCTACGATAAAGGTGCTCTGCCCCTAGTGTGTAATGGTGTGAAATATATACGCTTACACCTACCGTGATTGCGATAACGTTTTCATAGAAAAAATGAAAAAAAAACGTGAATTGAAGAAAGCTAAATAGGTCATTTTATCCTTGGAGACCAAGGGGCAGTTGATCGTGACAAAATATTCAGGGAAGGAATCTGACTGGAGTATTATCGGGGTGAAGTTAACCAGGCTGTCAACCCCCAAGGTCTTCAAATAGGGAAGGGATCATAGATGACGTCATAATGCACTACACATAATGTCATTTTCATTGTCAGGAAGTCAAATCTACAAGAAATGGCAATTTTCGGCGATTACCCGGGAGATTTCAGACTCTAATCTGGAGACCAAGAGAAACACTTCAAAAACTTGAGTCTCCCACATTATCCGGGAGAGTTGACAGCACTGAGTTAACAACAAAAAATGGGAGAGCCTCGTTATTAATTAGAAGTCTCCTTCATCACTCTAACAAAAGGTACAACTTTGGCCTTGAGTCTAGGATAGCTCTCATGTGTGTATTAAGATGACGTCAAACTGAATAAGAAAGCTGATGAAATTGCCTTACTGATTCTGCAGGGTTTGATGTTGCCAAAACTGGGGATGCCAGAATTGGTTTTGTGGGTAAGTCAGTTAAGAGTCAGTGAATCATACCTGAATTCACATCTCCAGCTAAGAAGAGGAGAGACCTGAGGTGGCAGTTATTCAGATAACTGGTTTCTTTTATAGATCTCGACTTGATGTTGGAATGCCATTGGGTGATGCTCACAAAGCGTTTTGTTTTCGATGCATTGTCCTCTTTTACTTAAAATATAAAAATGGGTCAGTTGGTTAATAGTCAATCAATAACAAATGAAAGACTTGTCTTAAAGAACTGTACTGTGCAATATCCTATTGTCTTGACCTCATCCTTTGTTGATAATGAAAAAAGCTATTATTATACATCTTTTTCATTCATGCATTCTTCTCTCTCTTTCTCCAACATTGCAGGATTTCCCTCTGTTGGCAAGTCAACTTTATTGACCAACCTTGCGGGTGTGTATTCTGAAGTTGCTGCCTATGAGTTCACCACACTCACCACTGTACCAGGGGTGATAAGGTACAAAGGGGCCAAAATACAACTTCTTGACTTGCCGGGAATTATTGAAGGTGCTAAAGATGGTAAAGGAAGAGGACGTCAAGTGATTGCAGGTGAGCAAATCAAGAGGCTTTTTCAAGAAAACTGAGGAAAATTTTTAGAATTTGTTAGCCCCCTCCCCCCCCCCCAAAAAATAGGTATATTTTTTTTATTGATGTATGGCTTTTATGTTCCTTTACATGCTTACACATTCACACATTCCTTATCTAAACTGAACCTGTAAGACACTGTAGAATTTATAGCACATTGTTGTAGTGTTTAGTTTACTACATTTCTGATGAAGTGAAGGGTTACACTAATGTGAGAAAGCCAATATGTTGGTTGACAAAAAAGTACCTGTAAATTTTTTTTCCCCTCCCTCCCTCCCTTCCCTCCCACCCGCCAGATATGTAGATTATGCCTGGTGCAAAAGTTTCCTTTGTCTAGGCTGTACACTACTTAAACTTTTTTTTATTATTTGAGTGTGAAGTTTATTGTTTAAATTTCAGTTGCAAGGACTTGCAGCTTAATCTTCATAGTACTCGATGTCCTAAAACCTCTGGGACACAAACGACTCATTGAACATGAACTGGAAGGTTTTGGAATAAGGTACATGCTCAGCATAACATAATCAAAATTTAAACTACTTGTACTATGAATGTTTTAAACATCATCATTTTCTTAACTACTGTATTCTTCTAGGAATTCTTTTCATTGTACATAATATATTATGATTAGAAAGTTAGATACCTGTAAATTACATGTAGCAATATTTTTTTGTTGTATTGGCTAATGCTCAGACTTTTTCTCAGAGAGAAAAAGGTGTTCCTGTGTCTTATAATAAGTCTGTTTTTTTTTTCTTGATTCACATGAAACTTTGTAGCATTGAATCAATTGATTTTTCTCTTATCAGGCTCAATAAAGAACCACCAAATATAACGTTCAGAAGGAAGGAAAAGGGTGGAATAAATCTTCAAACTACAGTAAGTGCGTGTATGATAATGAGGATTCAGTATCTACCAGTAACTGAAAGGTTGTAAATATGGTATTTTATAATGTCTTCATGTCTTTATAAAAAAATACAGTGGAAAGTCTTGGAAGTGATCAATCCTCAGAAAGGCTGTTTTCACATATTATTGGCAATAATTCTCCTCAGGGTGTTGGCCAGATTGATATTAATTGTAAAAAGTGTCCGATTATGAGGTTGTCTGTCACTGGAAGTTAGACTGCAATAATATTATTTGAAAGGGCTTCTGTTCAGTTTTAGCCCTCTCCCCCCAAACCTTCCTTATCAGTTATTTTATGTTCGTATATTTTGCTCAGATTTAAAGCGTGATTTTACAAGTCAGATAACTCTCCAAGTATGTTTTTTATGATAATTAGTGTAAGATGGTCATATCCTGGGTCTTCCATTGATATACAGTCGACTCCTGATAACTCGAACCCTCGCTAACTCGAACCAAAATCGATTTCCCCTGGATTTCTGTCATACTTTCACTGTAATTTTACCCTCGGTAACTCGAACCCTCGATAACTCGAACTCCCGCTAACTCAAACCAATTTTCGTTTCCCCTCAGGTCATTTTCTGTATAATTTTACCGTCAGTAACTCGAACTATGTTTTGAGCCCTTAAAAAGTCGGGAAAAAAGCCGTCTACTGGCGTCCGAAACATTGAATTTTGGATTTCCTATTAATGTGTTGTAGGAGTATAGTTTACTAATGGAGGCTGATGTTGATTGTCACAGGCTAACGTGAAGCTTTACTTCTCAAAACAGTAAAACGCATGCTCTATTTAGGCTATGTTTTGTTACGTTACGTTCTGATGTATAATCTAAAAGTATCTTCTAATTTTCACTTGACATTTCTACAATTACCGTATTTATTCGACTATAAGCCGATCTCGGCTATAAGCCGCCCATTCATTATTACAAGACCCCAAACTTTTTCAAAAAACGATTGTCAGACTCGGCATTCTTCGTTTTCACGAGAACCAAAAAAAAATACATTTGAAACCGTCCAGAAAACAAATGTTATAAAAGACCCTACTATAAGGTCGAGACCCATTCATTATTACAAGACTGAATTGTTAACTACGGGGAAAAACTAACATTTTCGTTCACTTTTTCTAAAAAGCGCCTCCTTTTCACTCGAGAACTAGCATTGATTGTCATAAAATAAGGCTCAGACGATAACACACAAGTTCAAACTGCTGTATTTTCGAAATGAAACATGCTTCAGGGCTATACAACCTAGATGCAATGGTGATTTATTAATCTGATGACAAAAACCATCAATACACGAGATGCAATGGTGATTTATTATGCAAAAAGCTTCCCTCTTAGAAAACGCATGCGAATTAATAACTATTACCCGTAACTAACTATTCAATTGAAAAGCAATGAATCATAACTCAGATGAATTAATGTGATCCAAAAATGAATTTAAAACTAACTGTGTTGTTAAGCGGCATCACCAGTACCTAGACATCCGTAGCGTCTATCAAACAATCTCGTGTTCGCAATCGTTTATTTCAAGTCAAGTTGTCATCATGCCCAAGGCTCGTCGCACGTGATACAACCTCGCGCTTAAACTTAAAATAGTCACCGAAGCAGAAGCTGTTGAAAATAACTCTGAAATCGCCAGAGAATATGGCATTAGTGAGTCCATGGTCCGTCGCTGGAGGAAAGATCAAGCGAACCTTTTTAACGGCGAGATTAAATTGTCAGCGAAACGGAAGACGATGGGATGCTTCACGCCGAAGTATCCGGAGCTCAATCAAAGAATACTAGAATGGTTTACAGAGCAGAGAAGCCAAGGTAAGTTTTTTGTCGAGCATTGATTAACAGAAACAAGATCACGAAATAAATCAATCAGCTGATTGCTGAGTTGAATGTGTGACTCTCAAAACTATCGTAGTATTATGTGACAACATTGTGTATGAAAGATTCTCATTGGCCAGTTTTCACAAATGTCAAAACAAATTCAACACGTGTCAAATTTTTAACCTTTCGATCGTTCCTTCTCACTTCGTTTTGCATCAGGCATAGCTGTTAGCCTGGTTTTGCATAGGAATAGCTGTTAGCGGATCAATGGTACGTCTAAAGGCAAAGGAATTCAGCGAGGATCCTGAGTTTAAAGCGTCCCTCGGCTGGAACCAGAAATGGAAGCGCCGCCATTCCGTCAGCCTTCGCACCAAAACAACACCCGCTCAGCAGATTTGGAGCAGCAAACAGTCAAGTTCCATCGATTTGTAATCACATCCCGTCAGCGTCACGGTTATTCCCTATCAAGAATCTTTATCTTTTCTGTGAAAATACGTTAAATTTAACAAACGGCTCCTTTAGGAGCCACCACATTCTTAAAAGTTAATAACCAACGATTGCATATTGTGTTTCTTTACTTTAGCTCGGCTTATACGTAAATACATCTCGATTTAGTAGAGTTTCCATGCGCTGGAAAAAATTTTTTTTCAAAACTTTCGGCTATAAGCCGAGACCCCCTCTAGAGCCCAAATTTTAATTCACTTCAGTTTTAATTTGTGTAAAAATCGCTCGGCTTATAGTCGAATAAATACGGTAAATGTAATTAAAATGTTCAATGTGCAGTAAAAACTGTTTTTTACCTTACTCTCGGCTATTTTCTTCGAGCTCCCGATAAATCGAACGTTTTTCAATTTCCCTTGAAGGTTCGAGTTATCGGGAGTGGACTGTATGTAGCTTACAACACGTGTATGGTCTGGTTATTGAGGGGAAGATGTAATCCGGGGATAGTATCTTCATTGTGACAAGTATTCACTGGTTTTTATCACAGTGTAATCAGTCAGAGCTGGACATTGACTCAGTGCGGTCAATTCTGAGTGAATATCGCATTGCTAATGCTGATATCACATTGAGATATGATGCTAATGCAGATGACCTCATTGACGTTATTGAAGGAAACAGGCAAGTCAGTTTAACTTTCTAAATCTGATAGAAAATATGAGGAAAATAATTTTGGCAGGACAAGCTTCTAAAATCATGATTCTCTTACCTTTTTAGAGTTTGTATACAGTCAACACTCTCATAGCGACCACCTCTCGTAAGCAACCACCTCCCATAAATGACCACTTTGAAAATAACCATTTTGTTTCTCAGACAAATACTGTATCAAAAACTCTCTCGTAAGTGACCGCTACTTAAATTGCTTCACAACTGCGACCACTTTTTAAACCAGACATTTGACATATTCTGTTTCCCGTAAGTGTCCACCTAGCATGATCCAAGGGTGGTTGCTTACAAGAGAGTTGATTGTATAAAGCTTCTTAAACTTTGTCAAATGTTTTGCATTAAAATGCGTTGAGAATCAAGATGAATACTCAACAGATTTTAAAAACAAAAATAACTGTTATTTTTATCAATCATGTGATTCATGGTTCCATTTTTGTAACATTTTTTAACTATTAAAATGATACAAACTAAATTTTTGTTGTTTGTAGCCCTAACCTTTTCTTTTTGATAGCTTTTGCAATACTTTCTGCCAAAGCGCCATCTAAATAATTGATCATTCCTTAACTCAATGTTTTATTCTAAATCCTGACTGTATAAGTTGTGATCCATTGCCATACTGAATGCTCCCTTCCCTCATTCAGTGGACAATAATAACTTTTGTTCTTCAATCTACTAATTACTTGTTTGGACTTTTTGTCATAGGGTTTACATTCCATGCATCTACATCCTAAACAAAATTGATCAAATATCTATTGAAGAACTGGATTTAGTTTACAAAATTCCACATGCAGTTCCACTGTCAGCCCATCATAAGTGGAACTTTGATGACTTGTTGGAAAAGACCTGGGAATACCTTAATCTTCTCAGAATGTAAGTGACACATTTTTGAAACAGGAACGTTTAAATTTGCTTTTATGAAATTTCCACTCCTAGATATGTGTTTGGTTGCACCTGTATTAACTGGCCACCCTTGGGAAAGGGACCAGTGGACACTTAGTAATACTAATATAATTTTAAAGGTTGGCTTCTCAATACAGGGTTCGTACAGATTTTTGGATCCAAAATTCAACACTTTTTCTAGAATTTTTTCCTAAACAATAGATTTTTTCCAGACTCAAGGTTATCAAATAGGTAATCAATATAGACCTTGAAAAACACAGGAAGAAAGCTTTCTGCACGGTGCACTACAAATATACAGTCAAGACTGAATAAGATTTTACCAAAAGTAAAACAAATTCACTTCTAACCTGTTGTAGCATTAAAAAGGAAACTCAAGACTTTTTTATATTTCTCTCAGACTTTATCATTTCATTTCATTTCATTTATTGGTTTATTCAGATATTTACAATTTTATTTTCTCACTGGGCACCTACAAATAGCAAAGGCTAGTCTATCCATTTTCCAGACTTTTTCCAGGTCTGGAAAAACACTGGGCAAATGTCAATTTATTTACTGTCAATTTTTGTCAGCCAGTACTCTGATAACTGCATGCTGCAAAGTAAAGGTTGACTGCTTAATAGATGTTTGACAGTTGTTTATTCTGAAAGATTAAATTCTCTCACTGATGATATAAGATTAAGCTTATGAATGATGGACATATTAAAGATGACAGCTTTTCATGACACATTTTTTACCAACGTGGTACAGTGTGGTAACAAAAACGGGATTGATAAAAATACTTAGTCTTGTGTCACCAGTTAGCTTTATTGCTCTATGTTTTGCACTGTAAATGATTATTTTGTTTTAGTTTTTGATTTAGGTCTCTTACTAAACAAAGAAAGGGATTAGAAATTTTATACTGTGTTTCTCAGCAAGACTTTCAACATTTTGTTTTTAAGTACAAAATCTTTCCTTCATTACAGATTAAGTACTTACAGCATTTACGTGTTTTTTTCAGATACACAAAACCAAAAGGTCAGCTACCAGATTATGAGTCACCAGTTGTACTGAAAAATGGACAATCATCTATTGAGGACTTTTGTAATTCTCTTCATAAGAGCATCATGAAGGAATTTAAACAGTAAGAATTTTGTTTAATGCTTGTTCTTAATATATAACTCCATATGCTGGGTTGAATGGTCTGTTATCAAAAGGAAGTATTGTTGTTGATTTAGCTTCTGAACAAGCAATAGTTTCTTGACATTGTGGGTGGGTGCGATCACTAATAATTATTAATGATGTACAATATTATTGAACCTCCCATAAGCGAAAGACTGAGTGGTCGCTTATGGGAGGTGGTCGTTTACAAGAATCAAACCACAGGGCGCCTCTTCTGAGAAGAGGCCCAGGCACATCTACTTCATGGAACAATGTCTAAGTTACAACATGTGTAGTTCCATGTTGTCACTAAAGTTCTTCATATATTCTAAGTAGCATAGTGCACACAGCGATCAGAGAATGCGTCAAGCTCTACCTTTTTGGTTGTACATGTAATATGATTCTTTTATCAATAACTTTTGTTGCAGTGCACTAGTTTGGGGTTCATCAGTGAAATTCAGTCCACAGAAAGTTGGCAAAGAACATTTCTTGCAAGATGAGGATGTTGTTCAGATAGTTAAAAAGTAAGTGGATAATATTAATATGAAGATACACCTAATAAATAATTTTATTATTGTACAACCAGCAGCTCAAATGTTTTGTAAAACCTCCATGATATGGCTACCTCCACTTGTCGTATGCTGGAAAGATGACACTATATACAATTGATTTGTATTATCCTCTCATTCATACAATATTGGCTGACTCCTGAAAGTAGCTAAAGTGAAAAATTCAGAAAAAAAGATTCAAATTTCTTTTGGTAAATTTCTGATTAATAAAATAGCACTATGCAAAAGTTCTGCCAAATAAGTTTCATTTGAATGGGTGATTGGTTGTAGGATTGCATCTGCAGATAACTTAATACTGACGAATCATCATGCCATAACTTGATGACCCATTGATCTAATAGTGAAATGGTCAAGGGCATTTGACACATAAACATGGGGATATCCAGCACGCATTTAATTAGGAGACCATAAAACACCCCTACCCCTAAACAGTGGTCACCAAATATTTCCCTCATGGTGGCCATTGGCAGAGGTCAACCCTCCACGTTGTGACCATTTTGGTCGCTTTGGCACCTAAATTTTGGAGCTGGCTACTTGATTAGTAAAAAATCCTCCCTAAAAAAAAGAGTTGGTTGCCCAGTGGCGACCAAGCGAAAACTTCAACTTGGAGGGTTGAAGGTACATCTCTATCGCATTAGGGGAGTTTTTTTGAAAGCAAAGCATTAGTTATATTTAGTTCACGTTTCCCTTCACTTATCCAGATTGTTTTTCTTCCTTGCAGAGTTTAAATGCCTGTACCAAATGGAAGGAAGACTCTGCCTAATGAAGTTAACTGTCTTAACATGAGATCTATTAACCACTGAATGTCCTATGATGACTTTGCAAGGTGTTCCTCTGCAGAAGAAGTTTTCTTAGAATATTTTCTGTTCAATAAGCATTAAATTTTTCTTGCAAAACTGAGATGCTTTTCTCTGAGAAAAATTAAGTTTTTTTTTCTCTGATAGCTAGTTTTTTTTAGGAAAGTATTATAAGATCAAAACTCTGAGGATTTGTTGACTTTGTTTACACCAATCCTTACTATCCTGCCACATGACAACAGCACGTGACCTGAAGATGTGATTAAATAAAATTACAGATTTCTTTAAATAAACTTGCATTTCCCTGCATATAGATTAATATAATTACGTAGTAGAGACTGAATGCTGGTGTTGCCATAATTTCCTGGAATACAGTAGTTTAAAAAATATTATGCCAGGATGGTTTAGGGCCACCTCAAATTTAAGATGAATAATTAAAAGTGGCTCTGTACCCTCTTGACTATAGTCTATTATAAATATGTTAAGTGTTTTGAGTCACCATAAGTCTAATTCCCTTTCTAAGTTGCACCCTGTTCTCTTAGCTTTGCCTTCAACTCTCCTCAAATAATTCATAATTTTATTAATGACGTTCTGCACTTAAATAAAGGATTGACAGTTAACTGTGTGGTATGGCCAGAGCTGTCATTATTCAGGCCTCTGTACCTTGAACAAATGAATACAACATAGTTTAACCTACAAGGAGCATGATTCACCTTAACTCTTTAAGCCCTAAGAGTAATCAGTGTTAAATTTCTCCTTGTTGTATCAATGCTATCAAACAGAGTGGTCATGAGAATTAAGGATGAAACCACACAAGATGAATTTAATTATTAATAAATATTAAACTTCCCACTACTACAATAAGATATTTTATTATACTTTGTGCTCACTACCTGTCTTCTCACTGGCCAAGAGCCAACTGCTAATTTTGGAAATCAGTGCAACCTACAGATTAGCTGGTTATCTGCTTGCAGATAACTGAGTAATCTGTGGTTTGTGCGCAATGCATGATATCGAATGACAATATCAATTCACATTCCTTGCGATGGTTTTTTTCTTCAAAACAATGTATAATAAAACAATATTACTAGATCCAGTTATAATGATATCCTAAAATAGTAATCAAGGTCTCCGTAAGTGTTATCAGCCTCTGCCTTCAGCTCAGCTGATAACACTCGACCTTGATTATTCCGGATATCATAAAACCCTCATCCAAATTATTGTTCAATATAGGAGATAAAAATTTAGATGTTAGGGTTTATGAGTTAAGCCCTCCATTTAATAGCTTTTCCCTTCCCACCCTCCAGTGTGATACTCTAAATGACATTATTGGCAATCCTTAGACTTCCTGTAATATTAGTAAAAGAGCACTGACCCATGCACTTTATATTTGAGGAAATACAGTATTTGGCTCACTAAAAAAAATTTCGGCAAGGACACATGACATTTCTGCACAAAAGAAATCGGCGGTTTGAAACCCAGCTAAAGGCAAAGGAAAGACTTGCCTGTGTGGTAGGCATTAAAAGGGGGAGGGAAAATTATGTGCATCGGGTTCTTGCGCACCTTGATTTCCCTTTTCCCCTTCTCTTAAAATGCCTGCTACAGGATTATAAAAGCTCGTGTGGAAATGTTTCCTCTTTCTTTGTATACTTTCAGAGCAGATGGAATGATTTATTTGGGAATGCACAAAGGACAAGAACAGAGAACTTTCTTCAAAACTATCTTTCAAACATCAGGCCAAAGGAGCAACCACCAGAACAACAGAGTTAAACTTAAATTTTATTTTTCATTAGCATCAATATTTAGCCAAAAAACTTAAATTAATTTTCTTCAACTAGTATACTAAAACTAAATGTTTTCAAACAATCCATATTTAATCCCTATTATCATCTAATATTTGGAAACAAAAAGAATTTAAAACTTCTCAGGTGACTACAGTCAGCATCTTATCTACATCAATGTGCAAAAAATTCTTTAAAAACTGTACATGTGGAAAGAGATTACTGCTTTAATCTGTATACAAAGAAAACAAAAGGTTCACTAAGAAATGAAAGGAAATGGCAAATCATTTTGATTTTAGTCAGTAATATTTCTTTGATCAAAAATGTTTACAGTCAAAAAAGGAATATTCTAACAGGCAAAGACTTCAGAAAATCTTAACACAAGCAAAAGGAAAACAGGAAGAAAGAAAATATCAAGCAAATTATTGCTGTCTGTAGTATATTGATAGTGAAGTTGTAGACAACAATAACAGGGAGCTTAAGCAACGATAACGGCGACCTCACCGAGAACGGCAAAAAAGCAATAGGTTTAGAGAGCCATCGCCAACATTGTTGCCTATAAAGCTCCCTAATATGGGTTTATGAATACCTGTTGCAAGGAAAGAAAAGTAAGTGCCTTATTTGGTACAGTAATAATTTAGCAGTTCCTTGAAGAGAGTCTGTTTAAGAAAAGCTGGCTGCCAATAACTATACTAAGAATCTTCACTTCCATGACTATTTTTCTGGTGTATCTTCTGTACTTGAGGTATTTTTATTTTCATCCGATGCATCTGTTTCTGAAGTGTTTGATTCATTTTGCTCACTGTCCTTACTTTTTGTCTCATTCTCTTTGTTCTCGGAATCATTTTCTTTAGCATCATCTTCCTTACTTTCCTTGACTTCGAGTCCTTCAAGTTCTTTCGCAAGCTTGTCGCTTTCTTGTTCATCTGTTGGAATGCCTATCTTATCTTGGCATTCAACAATTAGGTCTTTAAATTTCTTGGCATCTGTTTTTAATATTAACAACAAAATAGTCACCGTTAAGAAAGAAGTCCAAAAATGATTAGAGCACCATTAAGATAATCCAGGTAATTTACATACAGTGTGATTTTCATTGGCTAGCTTCTTTTAATTTATATCTTGGCAGTTTACTTTCACAAGATCTTAATACTTCTTTATTGATAACTCTGATTACCTTTTTCTCAGGAGAGGAATGGAAGAAACTTATATGATTGGTGCCAGGTTATAAAGAAGCTCTAGGTTACACAATTTATTTTAGGGAAATGGCCATAATTCTTGTTTTACACAGCCAAAAACCACTACTCCATGAAAGACTGCAGCTGGGGTCTTCATGTAGCACACAGCTTTTCACACCATAAAAAGGCGGTTCCTCATTTGCAGAGCCCCTTCTCTAATACCACCAGAAAAAGGTTTTAGATTTAAAAGCACACAAAATATTCAGGTCTTTTTCACCACTTCCCTCATCCAATATTGGCAGAATAAAAACATAAAAAGGACAGGAGAATTATAACTATGAATACCCCAGGTCTTGCTTATAAAAAAGAAAACATGGTATTCATTAATAATAATCTTGAGAAGTATCAACAACGGAACTGATGGCACCTAAAAATTTAGCTTCAAGTTGTAAAATTCATTCCATCCTTTGTGCAAAACTTACTTTCAGCATTAGCAAATCTAATAGCCAGCGTTTCTGTTTTCACGGCTTCATCTGCAAAATCTGCAGCGGTCCAAACCCATGCTCTGTCACTACCACAGTTTGGCTGTAAATTAATGTCTTTTGTTACTGAAACAAAAAAAAAATAAAATAAGTAAATTAATTTCATTGACTGCTCACTACCAAATATTTGGAAAATCATGTAGTTATGCTGCATGGCAATTCTGTGTTTTCACTCACATGGCCAGCATCTATGCATATTTATTGAAACAAAAGAAAGCGTTTACATAAGAAACTCCCACAGGACTGGTTTTGGGGGGTGTGGGGGAGAGGGGGGGTGGAAGTGCAACTGCCCCACCCCAGAGCAACACCAAAATTGCATTTTCCAGTAAATCGGGTGTTTCTTGGTGTTGCGGAAACTATTGTTTGTTAGCTTTTGTGTTGTGGTGTGGGTATTGTTCAGTGTCTTTTCAATCTTTTGTATTACGTCATTAGTGTCCGCAACACCAAGAAACCACCAGTAAATCAGCTGAAAATGCCATATTTATAGGAAATCTGCAATAATCTGATCAAAACAAAAGACACACCCTTGACAGATCGCTCCTAGCCGCTAGTTATAACCATTGCAAAATGATCACATCCATACAATCTGACTAACTTCAATGACAGAACTTTAAACTACAATTTTTAATATGACTGTTTTATTTTTGAAGGTATTTTAAATAGTGAATGATAAATAAACAACCAACCAGCTTAACATGAGTATTTTCTCATCACGACAGAACTTTTCCATCACATATCTTTTTAAAGCTTTCAGCTTTCTAAATAGGCTTTCTAAATGGGTGTATTTTTAAATGAAATATTGAAAAAGGACCGATGTCAACCATGGGCACACTTGGAATTGACTGAGCTATTATGTATGCTTAAGTTACATCGATTTTCCTTTTTGTAAGTGGTAGAAAATAAGAAATTTAACAATCAAATTCCCTATTATTAGGCAGACCTTTGAAGACCAAAGTCCCACCATGGGAACATGTCACTTGAAAAATGCCTGGGTGGGGGGAGATGGATGGTCACGCTTGCAAATGACAGAGCTGTGAGTTTGTATATATAGTACCATTTATCACAAGAGCCAAGATACTACGTAAAATGTCTACCATATTAGGGGAACAATACATCAGAGTCCTGTTCCACAAAATTTTATGGAATAGGATGTGTTTGTTCCATTTGGGTTTTAGGGCCAAACATCCCCCGTGCCCCATGCATAAGCCGCAATCTAAATAGTCAGAGGTTGTTGCTAATTAACAAGAGGCTCCAATGTCACTAATGGAACTGATTTGGGTATTTTCAGGAGCCTCATAGCGTGTCACATCTACCTATTGAAAATCCGAGATCTGAAATATTAAAGGATGATTAATTTAGTCATACCTTTAATTACACAAGAGAAAATAAACGTGACAGGCTTGTGCTTTTAATACTTACTGTAATGGTTTGCACAAATCTTTAACGTCTTATCTCTTCTCATTAGAATTCTGTACGTTCCTTTATCGCCATGCTTTAAGATCTTCACTTCACCAACTCCCCTTTCTTTCCACTCATTTTCTTCCCCGCTGGTTTCAAATCGGTACAGCTTTGCACGTCTGTCAGGAAATTTACATGTTCAGTTACGAAAATTAACGACGAACTAGCGCTATACCAGTAAAGGGCAAAGAAAAGAAGGGCGTTTAAAGATGGTTTACTTACAACTTCAGAAGTGCCTCTTCGTTTTCCTCCAGTGACTTTACTTCTATCTTGGCTAAGTTGACAAGCGGTTTAAAATGGATTTCAGGACTAGCGGGAGCATCTTGAGGTTCGTCAGTTGTCTGTTTCAAATTGAAATGTATTTTTTAAATATTTTGTCACCAGATAAACTCAAAATAACAAAAAATATATAAGGTTTGAAACAGAAACTACCTTTACGTCACTCATTGTGTAGTTTTTGTCCTAAGATGGTCGAGATATAACGAGATTCCCTCTGTAAGTCGGCTTTCAACTGTTCAACATCCAAGGAAAAAATTATTTCGCGCTTTCCTTCTTGAAAATTGCGCAACCATCTTTTGCGCATTACCTAATACGCATCCGCTTAACATTTTACATATCGCGGGCTCGTATCCTCCAAAAGGCGGGAAATTTTTCACGCGCGCGGAAGAATATGGCTGCCTCCACTGAAAAGCTGTCACCACAATCTCTCCACAACTGTAAACGGGAAGAGAGGCAAGCTTTGCGTGTTAATACTTTAAAGTATTCCTGTACAGTTATTATGTTAATCTTGATGTTTTCAGCTCATGGTTTCAAAGCTGTCCTAAGCTTAAGCGTGATTTGGAAAGCGTAAATAGTGCTGGAAAAATTATAACAGCTGTTGCGAGACCCTGCCAGGGTAAATTCCGACAAGCGACATGGCCCAAAAAGTAGCGACAGCACATAAAATGAAATCGCGACAAGGGACAACCTCCCTTGGCCAATGCGACAGTGAAGGCAAAGCCGACAATAAGTTAAGCGACAAGCATTTTTGAACACCGACTCGAGACGTTTTAAAATTCAGACGGGCGACATGGGCCCCCCACCCTCCCTGGCAGGGCCTCTATAGCTGCACGGCGGGTATTGCTAGCTATTTTATATAATACAAATTTAAAGCTTATTCAAGTTTAAACAGACTCCCAGCAAACACTTAACTTTTTTCAGCTTTTTAAATGAAAACTCTGAACAAAGGATAAGCTGTATTCAACAATGCAAAATGCTGCCATTTATTTTTACGTTTTACTTCTAGCCCGGGGTGGGGGGGGTGATACATGGGATAGGTATAGGGTACCCAAACTGTATCCATATTATAAAAATTAATACCCAATTACATAAGAAAGATATCATTTGTTATTCATTATGTATGCATATTGCCATTAAATTCTCAGACTCTTTTGGGATTTGGGCCCTGATAGGGTGTCAATTTCCGTTCACCTCATCCTTAACTTGGGTCAACAGGGTTTAAGACCCTGGGCCGCACACACATGCGTGATTTATGGTTACCACAGGACTTCTACTTACACACTGATTTGAAATACTTTGCACCTCAGCAGATTGACACGATCTATGAGTCCTACACTGGATCACTTTTATTTTTGGATATTGTCACATGGTAACTGCGAGAAACAATTGGTCGCAGAGAGTGGGATATTTTGAACTTTTTTGGTCTGAACCGTCTCTAAGGAACAAAAACAGTTGTAAAAAAATGAAGAAATTAAATCTTGCCTTTTCTTTTGTATTCAATTTTGTGCCTAGGACCCTGATAATCACATTTTAGGGCTTTGAAATTTCAACATTTTCAGGGGAAGCATACTAGGCTTTTGTACATTATGCTAGCATTTTTTCGAGCATTTTAGTGAGGCAAAAGCATTGAGCATTATTCAAGCATTTTAGTGGCATTTTCCCCGGAAAATTAATTTTTCCGAGAAAATAAAATAGAAATTAACGTTTTTCAGGAGCCCATGCCCCATGAGCTTCTGCCTTTTTAAACAAAATGAAGACTAAAACTCAAAATTCACAAAAAAACCTAATACAGCTGTTTTTTTGGGGCTGTATTTATGAACTTGTACACGTTGTCATTGTTACTTGCAACACTTGCACGTTTTTTTAAGTGTAAACTTTGAGATTAATTTAAAAAACCGTTTGTATAATGAGCATTATCCGAGCATTTTAGTGACTTTTTTGGGGAGACCGAGCATTTTAGTAGGAAAAATGGAGCATTAAGGTGGAGCATTTTAGTAGGGAAGCAAAAGCATAATGTACAAAAGCCTAAAGCATGCTTCCAGATTGCCCCTAGAAGAAGTCTTAAACATCTTCCTGTTGATAACAGTTAGATACTTAACGAGATACAGTCAGATAATTAACATTATTATTCATTCAAAATATTTTTCTGTTTCTGATTGGCTAAAATCCCACACATAATTCATCATAACCAGCTACTGTGAACCAAATTTGGAAGAATTTTGTGATATGTGAACTGATGACGTCCATCGTGCAGTAAAAATGCCAGATTATTAAACCGTTAACTGAGAAAACCTGGAGACGAGGTTAAGATACAAAATGGCAGAACATTTCACTCATTTCACAAGGAAGAAATAGGCCAAACAGATAACTAGTTTTCAGGGCAGTTCCAAATTAACCAAGAGGGCTTCTAAAGCAAAGAGAAAACTATCTGAGACACTTCGTGAATATCTGGAAAAAATCCTGTTGTTGGGTGCCCCTGGTATAATACAACTGTATTAGTAATAATCTGAATCTAGAGGTGCATATATTAAGAGCATAACTGATACCTGTAATGTCGTTCATAAAGGGAATATCAAGACAAGGGGAGAATGGTGGGGAAGTCACACCCTCCAGTCTTCAGACAAATTTGTATGAGACAAAAAGTTAAACTAAAGTGTGGTCAAATGACAAGAAGTTGAACTCTTTAATAATTTCAGAAATATATCTAAGTATCAGTTCAGCCTATGCTTTACATGGACATAAAATATATCATTGTTATAAATATTAATAATTATATTGTTTTGGAGTTTTATTTTTTTTTTTTTTCATAATCAAGAAGGAAATAGGAAATATTACCACTCCTCTTAAGAAATAAATAGTTAATTACAGGTATGTTTTTAAATATGAATTTATCAGATCTATAAGTACTTTATAGCACGTAAGGTTGGTTCAGTGGCCACAGGCAAAGTTAAAACTTTTACAGATACGGTTCTGGGACTATTGTAATTTCTTGCCAAGATTAAGCATGCATTGTGACATTTTAATTGAATACCTACATAGTAAAAGTGACAGATTCGTGTTTACATTTCCCCTCATTGTGATTTTCAATTTTTAATACTACCAACGATTAAAAAATATTCATTAATAGTAAAACTCAATCAACATATAAAGCAATCATGAATAGATAAAAATAGCAAAGAAATATTATTAATTTGGCTAAACCAATTTGAGAATTATTATAAATCAAAATTCAGGCATCTTCCCCACACCCACCTATTGGTGATGGGTTTAACCTGAACTTAATTTTGACATCTAACATATACCCAGTGACATGTATGGTGTGCCTGTCTTAAGAAATTGCAATTATAAAATTGTTGACTTATTTAACTTTGATTTACCGGTATGCTAAATCAAACACATAAAACTACACCGGTTCAATAAATTGTCTTCAAAAATATTTGTCTAGATAATAGAAAAACTAATGCATTAAAAGCATGCTGAGTTAACATTTTCATCTTTGCACTATTCTCTCAGTTATATAGCAACTGAAGGTGGTGCAGTCACTGTTAAGACTTTTTCAAGCCTAACTTATTTGATGTTATTAATTATTACAAAAGCTACGGAATAAATCCCTGCTGGTTCCAGTTGTTAGAAAGGTGGATATTGCTAAACACTGGGTAAATCTCTATTCAATGGATAACACAATATTGGTTTTCCCTAAAACTTATCCACTGGATAGTGATTTCTCCAGTGGATCTAGGCTTGATTACCAGCCGCTGTTCGGGAAATGAGCCCACAAGAGAGAAGTGGAAATCCAGCTTAAGTGCCATCCATTGTCTGAAAAATCAGGGCTTGTAGCAAAAACAAAACTGACATGTCCATCACAAATTCGTAGCTCTTATCCTTACATCATTACACTTACAAAATACCAATGGTTATCATTCCCTGATCAACAAATCAGGCACCTGCTTAAGTGTCAGTCAAGCAAACACTTGGCAGCATACAAAATGTATGCTGCCTATTAGTCTGCTCTAACATCCAACTCTGGCATCTCTTTGCATTCTGAGCTGCTGTATTGAAGCTTGCACTGATTGTGATCACACTCTTTCTGCTGTTACATATCTTCTGTTTAGCCCTTCTGGAAGTAAACAGCTCAACAGAATGCTCAACACAGTGATAATGACCAGTATTACAAATGCAAAGTGTTCATTTAGTGGAAATCCAAGCTTGAAGCCCTCACTTATTGACCATGCAAAAGAACTTCCAACAATCACTGGTGCTATGGCTCTGTGTGATAAAAAAAGAACAGAAAAAGTTACCTATGGGAAGTCAGTTGCTGGATTCAACTTTGGACTTAGTGAATTAATGAGGTTCATCTATAAACTGTTCAATACATGTAGCTGCAATTTACTATTTTGTACAGTGTTGTTCCAGAAGCACCTTACACCTTTCCACTCTATCACAGCATGCTTATGGCTGTAAAAGTTCAAAGCAGTGTTTACAATAATTTATTATTAATATTAGAGTTCAAATGCCACCAGACACATTCTTTTCTGAGTTACTGTTATGGCATTAATCAGGTGGCAGTTAGTTTATAGTCAGTCCCTGTTTCAGTCTACATTTGGTATCATTTGTGACATTCTTTTCAGAAACTAGACGGGATTCCATTTTCTACCTGCATGTTGCGGCAGCTGTCATTGCCAGTCCATTAGCAGAAGCTAGGAGCTCACTGGGCACTGAATTGTTTACAAAGATGGCTGTTGAGCTAAACCCACATCCAGTAGTTAACTTCATTGGCAGAAGAATAACCAATAATAATGGCCAAAGAACTTTGGACCTGAAAAAAAGAATATACATGAGCCAGATTTGCATTTCAGTTTTGGTAAGTCACTCCACGTAAGCATTCTTGATCGTCTTGTCCTTTCGACTGAAAACACAAAAACGAAGATCAAGCTGGCAAACAATCCATTCATTTTCATCTATGGTAGTTTTTACAAGTTGAAAACTTCATTACGTAAAGGCCATTTGAAAATAAGTACAAATCCATTAAGATAATAAATCTGCATAAATTATGTTAACAAATCCCTACTATACAGGTAATCGTTAAACTTTACATTTAAAGATGGAATTATAACAGCAAAATGTTACCCTTTAACTCCCAAGAGTGACCAACAATAGTTTTCTCCAACAATACCAATACAGTCTAACCTCTCCTTACTAACACCTCCCTACTATGGACAGTTCATTTGGTCCAAGAAATGCCAAAAATCATACTCCCTGCCTCTATAATACGGACACCTCTGTAAAGTGGAAAATTGGTTCTGTCCCTTTGATGTTCGGATATTAAGGAGGTTTGACTGTACATCATCAATAGAAAAGGTTATGAGAGTTGAAAAAATGGTAACCAAAGGGAAGATGCTTAGATCTGTCATCAAAAGTTATCTCAACCCCCTTTAAGGTAATGACAATTTATTAATAATAATAATAATAATAACGACTTGCTTACACTTGGCAGTATTTATAGCACTATTATATATAATGCTTGTGGGACTACGCTGCCCCCAATTGAACTGAGATCTGTTTGGAGAATTTTTATATTGATATTGGGGCTAAAGGGTTAAGGATTGGGCAACAACTGCTTTTGTTTGTTCTGACTTCTCTACAATGACTCTCAATGTTGTCTAGAGGTGACTGAAGTTATGGGGGTTTCCCAGGGCTCAAAGTTTAAATTTGAGTTCGGGAGCACTTGTGCTACCAAATGTAAATTTTTAGGCGCACTGCCGAAATTTTAGGCACACATCTGAAAATTTTAGGAGCACAGCTTATAATGTTGGGAGCATCTATTTCAAAAGAAAAAGTAAAAAGCTTAACAGTGCCACGTTTACTTGTCATCTTCAGTTTGTTACTTTAACTTCAGTCCTGTGATTGATAAAACACAGCCGATTTGCTACGCAGTAATACTGTTGTGATTTTTTACTACTAATTTCTCTTTTTGACAGTATAGTTGTAACTGAAGAAAACTTACACTTGAAAAAAAAATTCAAAACTGACAACAATGAGTATGTCAAACGAGAATGAAAATTAATCTTTAACGAATTTGTTAAACGTGCAATGACTAACATGTAACTGGGATATAACTGAAAAAACTTTTTACCTGGAAAAAAGGCTCTTAATCTGCACTGTTTTTGTTTTGATTGACGTTAAAACTGAACGTTTGACATGATCGTCCATTGCCCGGAAAGTGTGTGTTTCGTTTGCAGCATATATATGCATGTGTCAGCAGTGTTTGTTACAAAACAGAAGAGTCTGGGATGGAGTAAAACATGGAAACGAAAAAGAACATTCGAGTTCGTAGAATCCATTGGGAGAAAAGACCAATTAAACATACACCACCTTTCTAGTTTGAGTTCGTAAGTATAGTCGGAAGTAAGTCAGTCACACTGTGCTTTGGGTTTTATGGCCCACAGGTGCGATTAAACATGAATTGTTAGGCGCACAACCAAAAATCTAGTAGCATATGCGACCAGTAAATATTAGTCGCTAACTTTGAGCCCTGTTTCCCTTCACCATATTACAGGGGAAAACAATCTCACACACCTTCCCACTTTATAGTAAAAAGGAGTAGAGTTTGCATTGAAAGGTGAGATCAATGGAAAGCCACTGGCTTTGGGGCATAAATTAAAAGGGAAAAAACAATAACTACCAAGACTAAAAAATACAAGAATGAACCAAAACCAGTGTTACAAGCATTTAGAGAAAGTGTAAAAAATCTCAATCGATAAAACACTTTACCTGTCATGATAAGTGTTTGTCCAACAAACAGAGAATATTGTAATTCCTACAACTATGCTTGAAAATTGGAAGACCTGCAATGGAAAATTATTAATGACAATCACATATTTTGATTACCCCAGAAACAACATGTGTCCCTGGGGTGACACTTGAACAGTCCAGGTCACTTGTAGCTTAGCTCACTCCAGGAGTGACCCAGGACTGTCATGTCAGTGTGTTAGTGTGTTCCTCCATACAACTGACCCAATAACGGCACCAGCTTGAAATAGTATACAAAATCAGAGGAGTTTATGACAAGCATTCAGACGTTACAAATGTGAATTTTTGGGTTCCACAAGGCTCCATTTTAGTTCCAGTGTTATTCAATATATATGTTGCTGATTTTCAGGAAAACTTAGATGTCAAATGCTTCCAGAATGCAGATTACTCAATGATCTTAAAATGACCATGCTAAAATATCAGACCTAAATAACTGTAGAAACACTATCTCCCAATCAATTAATAAGCTAAGTGTCTGGTCTAAATAGAGTAACCTCGCCTTTAACAATGACACAAAACCAAGGTTATCCACCCAGGATGGACATTTCCAGAGTACATCTTGACGAGTATGATCCTAAATAACATCTCACTCAGTGGTTATAAACCAGAATGTATTAAATCTTGCAAACTGTTAGGAGTTCATGTCAATGAACATCTTAAGTGGGACGATCATATCAAGCACCGGCCATTATCTGGATGATATGCCCCTCTATCGATACTAAGAAAACTGAAATATCTCGCCAAATATGAGCTTAAAAAGCATGGTTTGATACTCTCTTCCACAATTCTTACTAAGCCTTTTGCAACAAATTGAATTTGCTGCTGCAAGGTTTGTACACGGTCAATATGTTAAGAACTTTTGGGATGTACTTAAAATCAGATGGCTTCCAATCAGTGAGAGAAGGCATTCAACCTCCTGAAATCATGCGTTAAAGCTTTGCATAACACTGAGACTTGGCCAGATTATATAAAAACAACAAAACAGGAAAGTTGCAAGGAACTGCGCTCATGCAATTCCATTAGATCAGCGGTCCCAACCAAAAACGTCACTTTCCAAGCTAATGCGTTGAAGCTATTTAACAATTAACCAGAATTTATCAGAAACTGTAAAAATTTTAGGTAATAGGGTACAGAGTGATTAGTTAATTTTACCGTAACTTCAAATCTGTTAGTTATACTTATACTTTTTGTATACATCACTCTTATTTTTAACTTGTAAGTAATCTAATTTAATTTGTTTTTTAATTGCAAATATTAAATGTAATTTAACAGGGAAGAACCACCCTGTTGATCTGTTAAATGAACCATTATTATTATTATTATTATTATTACATTATGGAATCTCAGGCTTAAAAGGTTTACATTGCCTGGTCAGTTACCCTTGGGAGCAAGGAGGCCCCAAAGAAGTCCTTATGTTTGAGTATCTAAATAGACAAAACTTTCCGTAATGGTTCAGCTGTTCCTGACAGTGCCGCTTTCTGGATCACTTCAAGTCTGATGGTTAAGCTTTCCCATGTATTTCTCAAACATATCGGATACAGCTCCCAATGCCCCAATCCCAACTGGCACAATCAACACTCTCTTCAACTTCCGCGACTTTCCTATTCTTCTCAAAGAAATTTATACTTCTCTATTTTCTCCAGTTCTTTGAGTTTTACTGGTGCATATTGTCGTGGTCATCATCATCATCACCATCACCATCACCATCACCATCATTATTTTTTAATTATTATTAAATACTGACGTTAATTCAGTCTCACCCTTTTTGCTCCAAGTCTTCTTTCAAACTGGAAAAAAATCAAACACAACTACTCTAAATTAAAAGCCCCTTTATGAATAAGCCTCCCCCCTGCTACTAAACTCTTGTTTACCTTAATGTTTGTAGAGAATAAGGCTTATTGACTCATATTTTAAAAGTGAACCCTGATGCCATTCCTTCCCCTAGTTTGTGGCTAACTTTAGACATACTGTATACTCATTGGTTTGGAGGTAAACTACCAGTCTGTTTCCTCTTCAAAAATCATAAAATTTGGCATTCTGCAGCTGATACTTAGAGGTCAGATTAAACTTCCTCTCCTAACATCTGTTCATATTTGGCTGCCCAACCCCTTAGCAAGGACCGTACAAAATGTACTCTTACAAGTTGTTTTTAACATGCAGCTGTTGAAGTACTGGCAATGGACACTGTCTTCATTATAAGTGTCTTCATAGCATTCTCAGAATCTTTAGCTCTCCTATTAACAACTTGTCTCCTGTTTGACTGCCAATGATAAATTTGACAACTGGCTTTGAAGATGGCTTCAGTGGACTTTGTATTAATTTTTATACTATACAATCATGTACCTTAGGAAACAGCCAGAGTTGAAGAACAACAACTGGGGCTGCAACACACAGTAATACAGTGCCTATTTGGTCGGTGGAAAATCCAAGTCCACCTGTTGAAAATGAAGTATACAGGTACTAGCTGTAAAAATACATTAAACTAGTGTTCTAGGTTTCACAGCAGGATTTGGCATAATTAGCTTATTTATGATGTGCCATTAAGTCTTGCAAAGCATGCTTTTCTTAGTTTATACTGCTTCCTCACCTAAATAATAGGCTACTCTCAGTGAGTCAAGGTACAAAAATATCTTTCTGATAATAAAATATTTAATTCATTACTAGGAGTCAACAGTACTGTTATGTTGGTAAAAAATGCCATAACTTCAATTATTGATGATAATGATGGTGAGGATGACGATGACAATGATAATGATGATGATTATCAGTTCTTCATAAAAAAATAAAAATAAAAAAAACAAGAGTGTTTATAAGCTATCACACTTGACTGGCCAAATTTGTAGTAAATGGCTTTTTATGCCTCTGTTTCTCACCGTGCTTTGATTGAGTGGCAGCCCAAAGTGAAAACAGCTCATCATATCCAATAATTACAGCTGAATATACGCCATAGACACCAATGGTATGAAGAATGTTGCGATTTCTGAAAATAACAACATAATAAAAATAATATTAAAGGCCTTTGTGCCAAAATGTCCTCTTACTTGATATTTTAATTGGGTTGCCTGTGAGGGCAATGCCCAATCAAACAATGGGTTATATCTATATTGGACAAATCTCCCAGAAGGCTTTGCATGTCCCATTCCTCCTTCAAAAAGGCCTTCAATTTTTGCGGGGAGTGGACGGGTCATTTCAAGTCATCTAGCGGACAGCAAAGCAAGGAGCTATTGACCCTATATCTATGCTGAATGATTATCTAAATACAGTATTTGATGATGAAGTTACACGTAGCCTGTGCGGAAGCTGCAGAAACACTGCCCTTCCATGTTACCCACGGGAAAAGCCTCAACTTGCTGCAATTCTCTCCCTACATGTTGAAAGGCTTTCTTTTCAAGAAAGGAATAATACTATTTGTAGATTGCCCCATGAAATAGAAACACATTTACTTGGATAGTTAGAAGGACTATGGTGGTCTTGTTTCATAATTTTAAAGTTTCAGGATTGTGCAATTGGGTTTGTCCTTTACAACCATATAGGTTTGTGGATAATTTTCCAGAAAGGAAAGGATGTGAATGCTAGTTACAATGTACCTTACCTGAGCAAAATTCCAAGATTGCTGTTATGGAAAATTCTACAGCATCTGTTATGCTGGCAACCACTAAAGCAACTTTCTCCTTTTTGTCTTTCACTATTGCTGGCATCACTGATAAATATCTCAACTTCTCTGTTTTCTTGTGAACTGGTTACTTGTGTACTACATTTCTCAGAGTCCTCCAGTAATCTTTGCTCATTGGAATCATCTTGACCCTCTAAGGAAACTGTGCTTTGCATGGGTAATTCACCTGGTTCGCTTGCAACTGTTGTAGTGTCTCTGCATTGAAAGGACAAATCAAGAGTTAAGTTACTTTGTTGTTTTGTTTGGTAGTAAAATGCTACTAACTATTTCAGTAAAAACACCTAGATATTGAGATCACCCTACTCCAGTCACAATTTCCTTCCTTGGCATATCCAATTGATACTGTCATTGGCTTGGCCAGGTGGGTGGGTTGAGATTAGAGATGAACTGAAGTTGCCGCAAACCATAGCAATTACCTATGCAGTCAACTCTCCCTTAGATAGACACCATTTGGGAGCACTACTGAATGTCCGTCTTTAAGACTGACGTCCACTAAGAAAATGAAAATGACTGAAGAACAACAGGAACCAACTCTTCAAAGTCCGTTTTGGAAGGTGTTCGTCTTTTGAGAGATAGGTTACTTGACCTATTGACTATGTGCTGATGTCTGATTTCACCTCTCTCCCTCATTTGTAATTTTGGCTGCAAAGGAAATTCTTTTTCTCTTTTATTAAAATAAGTGTATTATCCCAAGTTTAAAAGAGTATCTACACTCTTTGATATTAAATTCTTTTGGAATTAAGGCAAAATAGCAGACAGTATCAGTGACAGTGTCATTTCACATATTTCCTTTCTGGCCAGTGTAAAACGCAGACTACGGACTATTGTTTTCACCATGCAAATGAGTGCGTGACAACAATAGTCCCATTGTTTTATAACCCTAAAAACAATAGTCCGTAGTTGGTCCACAGTCTGCATTTTACACTGCCTCATTTCCTTTCAGTATAATTGTCAATATATTTACTATTTACCTTTTGACAAGAGTCTCTTGTAAGTAGAAATAACCCAGCAAAAATGTAATAAGTAGGAACACACAGTTGAACAGACAGGGCAGGAAGAAGGCAAATTGATCAAAAAAGGAACCTACATATGTATTTAAAGAAGCAAGATTAATAAATTAATGTCAGGACAAAAATGAGATGAAAAATGATTATTTACAAAGCATTAAGGAAACTAGGTATGTGCTATAGGTCATGAAATAATATTAATTTGTGGAAAGGTCATTTCATGGTCTAGAACAAGCCGCCTTAAAAGCTGTTTTCTCCATAATTATGTTACAGATTTATTTCTGCCTATTTCTCATAAGTAGAAAATTAGTGTCTTCTTATCTCAAATAGATATCAGCACAAATAAATCTACCAAAATGAATGCAGCAGAATAGATGAGAGGCTGAAAAATATTGGCTTGTTATTCATGAGGAATTTGAATTATTGTAACAAATACATGTATACTTTTGCACACAATTTTTTAACCAAATTATTGTGTCCATAGAAAATTGTACCTTTAGGAAACACATTTGGGTACTTCTCTGCTGGTTCTGCCAGATATCCTGTAATGAATTATTGAAAAATGCAATGCAAATTAATGATATATGAGTGTTTTCCTTTACCCTTTAACTGGGTGAAAGAGGTAAAACAATAGACTGCTCACAGGCTTATTATTTGCCTTCTCGGCTTACTTACTGTATATAATCATCATACTAACCTCCTACAGCTGGGCCAACAATAAAACCCATATTCCAAGCAGTAATTACTACTGATATCCCTATTGCCTGAAAGAATGAAACACAGCACAACTTTCTCAGTTTTTTTGACTTTCAAAATTAAGACAAAAGTTGTCTATGTCAATACCATGTTGCAGTAAAAAATGTTTTTGCCTTTTTCCATCCATGAAATGCTTCCTTGGTTGAAACTCATCTCCCTGCATCCTGAACACATTAAGTCTAATCTTCTACCTTCTCATCCTGAGGCTCTCTTATCTTTTTTCTCTTTTTTTTTAGTAAAATATGCATAAATGAAAAACAAATGTTTTTCTAATATGTGTCGCACTTTATCCCTGGAGGGCGGAAACACTCTGCTATATGCATTATAGGTATGTGCCACTCATGGATTTTGAGCAGTTTTGGGCTGAAAAGGGGTATATATAGATTCTGAATTCAAGAGAGTATGGTTTTCAAGGAAACCATGAGGGCACATAAACTTATTTGACTTTTCACCTCCGAATGAATAAGAACATTCAGTTCAAATACTACTATAAAAAAAAAAAAACAGCTTGAAAAGTATGTTGACTTATACTAAATGGACAAGATAATGGGTTGGCAAACCGAGTACAGGTCTGAAAATGGGTATGGAAAATGGCATGTCTTGCTTTGAAATAGGTTCAAGATTTGGAAAATTTGTCGGAATCTACCTGGTTAGTGTTATCGCAAACTTCTGAAGCAATTGCTTTAACTGTTCCAATTAAACCTTGAACAAAGAGTACCATTTTTATCATAAGAATGTGTTAGACTATCAAGTTTCAAGTAGAACTTGCGTAAATGCATGCATTTAATATCAACACAGATCAATGAAGGAATCATTGTGTTGTTGTTGTTCTTTTAATATTAGGCTGATTTAGCAACAGAACGGGAACATCAGTTGACAACGGTGCGTGCAAATCAAACAACTGGCTTGACCAATGGCAGAGCAGCAAATTGAGCACCAGAAGTCGTGTTTAGTCTTTTCCGCGCGCTTTCTCGTCATCAACTGACGTTCCCATCCTGTTGCTAGATCAGCCTATTAACAAGATGTTGGGAATCTTGATTTCTAAGAAAATAGATTATGGGTAGACAATGACACATCAAAAATGTGATCTGATACATTTGTTAATGTAACCAGGCTATTCTTAGAAGTGATCTTTATTTCTGTTTGTGATTGTTTTAATATTAAACACAGAATGCTAAAGGCCAAAATGCATGATTCTATACATTTCTCAAAAAAAAAAACCACACATGTTCATTTAGTGCAGATGAGCTCTCCACATCAAGTTGACTAATATATTGATTATTGAGGAAATTATATTTTGTACTATAGAATAATAGTGATGTCTTTTGTCTAGTCTCCTGCAATCGTATGTTTTGTACATAGTTCGTCAAAATATTTGAATAGCACTACTCTTAAATTCCATGCTTGCATAAAATACAATACATATTTTATGCAAATGTCACGTTTGTAGGATAACCCCTGAGCTCAGAGGCCTCCTCAAAAATGATGACCAAGTGTGGCCTGCAAGGTCATATTTTTTAAGATGGCCAAGCACCAAAGGAATTTTTCCATTTATTGCACCTTTCCATTGTTTTATAGTGAAACTAGCAGGCCATTATTGACTTGGCAATCACAGAGTTCTCATTGGCCATTTTGCAAATTGGGTTGAATTTCTTTGCTTGCCATTCATTCCAAAATGCTGCTCCAGCGATTCTTTGAGAGATGAGACTCTTGTCTCAAGAGAATATAATTATTTGAACCACAAATGCTGCTTCTAACATGAAAATTAAAAGCCAGGAAATTGTGACAATATACATTTTACTGTAGTCTTCACTGTAGTCTTTTCACTAGTATGCATGTGCAAACATTTTAGACAAATTTATTATTATTTTTTAAATAAATACCATTGGATATCCCTGCAAAAAACCGTGTGAAGATGGCCATATATAGTGAGGTCGACAATCCAAAGGCAACCATACTTGCAGTGAGTAATGCAAGAGAAAGTAACAGCACAGGTCGTCTACCAATTTTGTCTGCGAGCCATCCCCAAAAGTAGCTAAAATTGGCATAGAGGGAGGTAAAAATTAGTGTCTGAAATATTAAGCTTTTTGAAAATATATATGAAATGAAACAAATTTAACTGCATATTCCTGTAGTGGAGGTAGATGAAACTTTGCTTTTGAAAATCAAATTGCAGTAATATTTATTATTTGGGGAAGGTTGTGTTCATAAAAAATCCAAACTTTGGGACTACTCACCACCTAATAATATTTCTATCTTTTGTTTGAGAGATAAGCAAGAAAATTCAATGTAAAAGAATGTCAGAGTGTATAGATATGAGGACGCATTTAAAAAATAATAACCTGTTTTTTTAGTATGTATCTGTTTAGTTAACTCAAGCTTGTTTGACAGTTTAGATGCAAAGTTTGAAAAATCCAAATCTCTTCAATAATGTCTGACACTTAAAAATGTTTGTTTGTTTTTGTGATATTGTCACCTTTAAATGCAATCAGTGATATTTGTACAAAGAATTTTACAAACCAAGTTACAACACGCCCAATAAACATGGAGGATGCCACAAGACCTGCATAGTAACCTGGTGATAAAGAAGAGAAAGTTATTAAAGGTGGCTCCATCATTGATACTGACTGCGCATTGAGCTATGAGAAACTTTTTGTTGTAACTTTTTGGTTTAACATGATGGCTACAAAATTTTGTATTGAACTACCAATATCACTTGGCAATAATATGAAATAATACGATTTTAGTGGTGGCAGGGTGTAAAGAAAGTCAGTTTTACAGCCTGCCATTCGGGCAAGCTGTAGCTAGCATGTACTAGCCCACAAGTCATTTCAACTAGCCCCAAAACCCTTTTTGATTAGCAGCATATTGATTACAATCCTTCTGTAATTTGGATTTCCCAAAAAAACAGCACTCGCCCGTTGGGCAAATTAGGAACAAAAATCACTAGCCTGATAGCAAAATCCCCAGGCTATCAGACACGACTTTCTTTGCATGCTGGGTGGTAATTTTTTTTTGCAAACTTTGGGGTGAAATTGTTTTGGAATCCCAAAACTGAATTGCTTTGAGGTAGAACACACCACCTATGTGAGTTTTCAGGCCATGTAATTTCCATGTTTGCTTCATTCTTAAAACAAAGCCAATTGCCAATCATGATATTCTTTTAATAGGTACTCTTTAGTTTTAGAAGCACTGTAAATGCTCCAAATAGTTACTCAACATTTTAATTGCAAATGTTCTTCCAGCAGTTTTGGCTGAAACTCTTGCTACATATATTTCAGTGTTTCAATATTGCACTTACAAATTTATACATTTGTTAAATATTGCATTTAATGATAATGTTCTTTAATGCTAACCTGCCTCTTCATCAGATATCCCAAAACTCTGACAAAAAAATCAGTGAATAAAAGTCAATGTATTGTTCCTAAAGTTGATATAGATTAATGCAAAAGAAGTAGTACTGTTGTCTTTAAATTTATTTGCACATTAGCCACCTAGTTGCATCAGTTTTATTTGAGGATGATTTTATGGTAGTTTTCTTGTGGATGGGTGCAAATTATGTGGTTGGAGGGCAGAGAGTGGCCAGATTCTTCTTTTTTTTCTGAAATACACATGTAACTCATGTGATGACAGTGCCTCAACATTATTTTTCCACCGACTATATCCTGGTTCAAGAAAACATAATAATAGTCTAGAAGGATAACAGATTCTTGACTTGTTTTTTTATATGTATTTTGGTTGGGTACCCCACTGATTCAACAGACATGCATGTTAGTAACTATGGTTACAATGAGTATATATGAAGGGTTTTGTACAGCTGCAACAATTAGACTAGTTTGTGCCAGGCATTATAAAATATGTATTAGTTTAGACAGTGAAAAAGGACATTACTTACCTTCACCATAGCAGGGAGAAATGGAAATAGCATTGTGATGGAGAGTGAAAGGCACAACTACAAAGGAAATAATGCAAATAAAATTGTAATCATCAAAAAACACACAACAAACAATACGATGCAATGGGTTTTGTTTTTGTTTACCTTAATACAGGTACCAACTAGCAAGGCAAGGTCAATAATGCAGGGGAAGATCATGCAGTGCTGTTTGTAAATGTATGTGTCATATAATATAGGAGCTATACAGAACTGTACCATACGGAAGTCTTTAGAGGTACTCTAAAAGCATCGGGTAGGTCAAGGTTGTATAATGCCAAATTTTCCATCAATATGGGAGCAGTGGGATACCCTGCAAGCAGAGATATGTTTTCAGCATGGTTTTTAGCATTTGTGAAGTCATTTACATCACTGATATTTGAGTAGTTGGCTTATTTAAAACTCTAAGCCAGCCATGCAAATGTCAGGGACATGAATGAAACAATGTCAGAAAGAAATCTCTGCTAGCAAGGTAAGAGTATGATGGCTTTAACCAAAAACCCCTCTAAATAATAAATAAATAGATAAATCATGATTTCAGGGTCTTCATTAGGCATCAGAGATTGGAGAATTCTCCATTTTCTCCAGCTAATGCTCAGTAACCTATGACTATTTTTCATTCAGACATGTAACCTCTTCGAAAATATTCTCCCATAAAGTTATGTTTCTCCTGCTACTAGACTTAACCCTGTGATTTCCATAGTGGTTCTTTGTCATTGAATTCAGTTGGAATTTTGAAATGTTGGTTTTGATAATTGTAAAACTCAAATTTTTGGAACTGAAGTATCACCCGCCTCAAGGCTGATTTTTTGTTCTTGTCAGTCTTGACTTTCAAGCCTGCCAAAACCTGCAATTTTGTTGTTGGATTGTTTGTTTCCCTTTAAGCATTATATTGTAAATCCTCTATTAAGCCCTCTCCCTCTAATGAGTCCCTACCTTTTAAGGGAAGAAAGCTAATAAGCCACCCCTCTCTATTAAGCCCCCCTCCCCTCCCCTATTTTATTCTTCACTAATAAATGATAGACTGTATAAATCAATCATGACTGTAAGCCTTCGTGTAGACTGATCCAGGATGGTTCATTTACTGACTGGAAGTTTGAATTTGATTTTGATCTTCCACTGCATGACCTAAAACTTCTTGTACTTAAGCTTTTCAACTTTGTATTCTAGTTCTTTATGGAGAACTGATACCATTGTCATTTCTAAATTAAATAAGCCCCCCACCACCCCCCTCTCAAATGGGCTTGAAATAAACAAGCCCCTTGGGGGGACTTAATAGAGGATTTACAGTAATCATTTCACAACAACCCAAAGAGTCCAATAAATAAAAAAGGGAAGCCACATATTTGGCTGGAAACTGGGCAGCCATAGCCTGTGAGAGCAGACACCTTTTTTGGCTTATATTTACCCGCCAAGAAACAAGAGTCAAAAAGTTGTCTGCGCTAGCAGGCTAGGGTAGCCATAACTGTACACAGAAAAGGGGTAATATGGCATTTCACAAGTCCGTGATCCACAAATCCTCGGTTTACAAGTCCAATCCCAACGATGTACAAAATACGGTAATAAGGAAGGAGATTATTTTGTAAGGCAAAGGAGCAACTCTAAAAAAAATGGGCGAGCCAAGATAATCTCTAATGTCCTAAAGAATTAAGCCCAGCAGTATGTTACCTTCCCCACCTTCTCCCAAACCCCCTTTGACTTCTCATTCGCGCCTAAACCAAAATGGCAGCTTTCAGAAGACTTTACTTTAGGTAACACAGGCGCTCACAACATTTTACAAACCCGTTAATGCAAGGTTTAGTTTGAATCGCAGAAAATAAGTTTTCATTATTTTAAAGTCCCCTTTAAGCTGTGGCCTCTGTGTAGGTACTGTGTTGCTATATCTTCTTTATCCACGAGAAACTACAGGGCGTTACAAATCGATAGAAATCGATCATCGAAAACTAATCGATTACTCGATATTACTCGATAATACTCGATAATTGTTAATCGATTAGCTAAAATAATCGATAGAAATCGATAATCACAAGACTTAGACCGAGATTATCGATTTTATCGATTTATCCGGTCGATTGAGGACATTGAAAAAAAAATTATATCAAGTCAATTTAGAATCAAGGAACTTTTTTCTTTCTTACCGAAAACTGAACGTCAAAACCTCTTCCAGTCTTGGCGATAATCTGTGATAACCAGATAACTCATTCGCATTTGAAGCAATTTTTCTGAGTTTTTAGACTCGTAGCTCGGACGAAAACGACAGCACACTGTGTAAGCGGCGTAAGAACACCAGTGGAATTGTTTACGCTGGTAAACGTGGCGTACTGCTACAACAAAAACCATGTTGAATTGAGTCAATCTTGGAATGAATTTCATTTCTGCATAAGCTGAATGTTGCTTTCTGTGCGTTCTATGGCTGATATTTAACATAAATCGGCTTTGGTGAGTTAATCAGCGGATAAACATTGGATTTCCAGGTTTCCGGTTTAAGGTTTGTGGGTAGTACGCGTGGTATGTGATAGCAGATGATGGTGAAAGGTCACGTGATTAAGAGTGAACACGTGAACAAGAAAACTTCCCAGACCACGAACCCACTTCATTCGCAGTGCGATAACAGCACACTGTACAATTAATCCTCTTATTAATGCTCAGTGTTATTCCTTATTCCAACAGGGTTGATGGATGCGATGGACGATAGCACAAAATAAACAGACAAGTTTGTGGTTTTCTATATGAAATCAGTTAAAATTACTTTATTTTTTCATAATTCACGTGTACCAGGTTACAAACTAAATAAAACCAGATAAAACAAGTCACTGGTCACATGTCACTGTGGAGTAGCTCCCGAATCGTCACTGCTTCCCCCTGATTCTGCGTATACTGCCCCGGCTTGTAAGTTCCCTGCTTTTGTTTCCTGCGATGATTGTTAAACCATACGCTCACCTGGAAGTCACAAAATATAAATGAAATAAATAAGTAAATAAATGTTTGGTCAACTCTCCATGAAGGCTACCTGGATACTTTCTATTCAGCGTCTATTCCTAGCACCAACGCAACTCATTTTGTAATTGCAACGAGCCCGCGCGCAAGAATACCGCATGAACTTAACTCCTACTGTGTCCACGTGGAACCATGCATTAGTCGAGATTAGTCTCTTGTACAAGCAGATCGGTGCTATGGCGCATTATATTTCCTTTTTCTCATGCATTATTTTAAGCATATATCTTTTCGAAGTTACCGACAGTGCCCCTCATAAAGACATACATCAGGTGAACCAAGAATTACAGAAACGTGATTTTCGGCCCCTGACATCCGACAGTGATTTCAAGAACTCGATTACTTGTAATTCATGTGGCTTGACTTTAACCTATGGAGATAGCGCTAAAACGATGTGGCTGGTGAAGCGCCATAGCAAGGAAGAGTCACACAAAATAAAAGCTGGATGGTATTTGGACGACGACAATAATGTTTTGTCAAGTAAACCTAAAGGTAAGGCTAAACAAAGATGTCAAATCGACAACTCAGCTGTAAAGTTTAGCAACGAATTGATCGAAGTTTTCAGTTTGATTTGATCGTTTACCAATTTGTTGCAAAAGAAATATTCTAGGCTTACCTGTCGCTCTTCTAGTTTTAGTAACTTGGCCGTTCGCTCTAGTACGCTTCTTTCAGGCAATCCGTTCGATGACTTGAAGACGGAATCTAGCGTGGATAATTCGAGGTCGCTGTATCGTTTAACCGCCTTTTTGGAGGCTTGTCACTTTCATCAATTTCTTTCCTCCGTGATTTTGACACTAAAATAATTTAAAGCAAAAATTAATTTAGTCAAGAAACCCTATACTAACCTTTTGTCATTCAATGACTTACAGTGGTCGAGCCTAACCGTCAGCGGTGGTAAAGGTGTCATGCTATAAATATTGTCACCAAGAAGGTGACGAGCAATGATATTTCACTTTATTATAAAAAGAATGTAAATACAACAACTATAAATAGATATTTACCTTTCTTGTATTCATCGATCAATGCGGCTTGCTGTTTGGGGTCGTTTAGAAAAGCGTTCAAGGTTACCCATATTGCCCGGCCATGTGTTTTTGGCAGCTCGTTTGGCGCTTTTGTGATGTAGTCTGAGAAAGAACCTTGGGACCTATTCACTACCCTTTTAGCAAAGAATGTTTGGGAAACCCCTTTTGTGAGGAGCCATCTCGAAACTTTTGAAGCGATTTCCCTCGGTAAAAGAATGACATCTTCCGTATTCTTCTTAGCTGCACCGGCTTCTTGATCTGCTTCGTCTGTAATCTCCACGACTTGCGTTTGAGCGTTTGTAGCTTCGGTAGCTTCTGTCGCTTCATTACACGTGCTTTTTCCTGTGTGGAAAAGGTTAAGACCATTCTTGTCTTAAATCGCTCCTAAAATTCAGTGTCAGTTCCACAAGGTCTAAATCTAAATTTTGCAGTTTAAACTATAATGGAGGAGGCTTAAAAACATCTCAAAACACATAACATTCATGAGTGAAATAAACAAACAACACTGCGTACCATTGGTACCATTCACCGCATTTTCCATTACTTTAATCTCTCCGCAACGCTCTTCAACAAATTTCTTCAAATCAGGCAGTTCTTTTTCTGCTATCTTGACTGACACTTCAACGTATTCTTTATCTTCCATGGTTGAACCAGTTTCAACAAAGATCAAGAAAACCGAGAGAAAACAAACGTTAACACACCTGAGACACGAATTGGCACAAACACCGGCAGTCAGTGAACGTGTGACACGAATTAGCACAAACACCGGCAGTCAGTGAACGTGTGAAAAAAGATACTGGGGAGAGAATCTGGCAGTTGATTCCCGCGTTTGGTCAGTTTGAATCCGATCTATTCTTGATACTAAACACGAAGAAAAAGAAGTTTTCAGAATCTAAATAAGTCCAGGAAAAATAAAATATAATTTAATTTACTCAATAAAACAGAACAGGAAATATACTAAAAAAAAAGTTGTATTAGTTCAAATATATCACTATTGTAAGAAAAACCTATATTATTCGAATATTTGACAACTCTCTGCTGTTTTCCTTTAAAAGAGTAGTTGATCTATTGAGTGATCATTCAGTTTATTTTAATATGTTTTTTTTTAATACTTAACCAACGAATCTGCTCAGCGATATTATGCTGTGAGGGGCGGGCTGTATACACCGTAGCGTATTTAACACACACGCACGAACATCTTTCTTACAGGAAATAAACTGCTGACGAGTTATTTTGGAACCGCCAAACAGAAGTCTTCCCCCAGCCCATCAACATCTCGGAGCGCAAGTGCCAAAACAGTCATGGTTGCAGAAATGGTGTCTTATGCACAAAGAGAAAAGGTATACAGCGTGGGTTCTTTTTTCCCTTTTTTTCATTGTTTTGATTCCGCGTCTTTTTAAGCGATGTTTTAAGGGTTTTCCAACTCAAGTCATCTGACCCAATGTTTAATTGATTTCTATTTTCACAGGCAGTTGCAAATACACACCGAGAAATGAACAGGGCGTTCGGACAGAGGCTGAGTGAAATGATGATGACAGAATCTCCTTTGCGGGATCAGCAAGACAACTCAAAACAACGCGTTTCAGTTGAAGAGATCGTATACAACGAAAAATTTGTATACATGAACCGGCTTTCAGAGGCTAGGATAGAGACTGAAAAATTATTACATTCCTCCGATTTGTCCAAAGTCCAAAAAAGTCGCATATGGAGAGGGAAATCTCAAATATGTTAATGGAAAGTAGAGACAATACCCAGAGGGTCAGGGACTCCTTCCGGTTCCAGTGTCTGTTAGGAGCATCAGAGGAAAATTTTAAAAAGAGCCGTTTAGACATTGCCACCTCTTGTATTCAACATATAGCGGAGAAAGCTTCATTATCAGAATTGTATCGAAAAAAAATTGCTGAACTTAGACTACAGTTATCGGTAAAAGAAGATGTCATTTGCGCATTACAGCATGATCTGAAAAGCAAATGTCTAAAACAGCAGCTGCCAGAAATCGCGCTTCAGCTGGCTGCAGTAGTAGAAAGGAAAGACCAAAAAAATACTGAATTCATTTCGATTGTGTCCGATCTTCTTGCGCACAACATAAATGAGAAAAAATGCTGGAATGACGACACAAAGTCCTTGTTCGCAATTATTCTAGATTATGGAGGACCGGCCTTGCTAAAGATAATCAGGGAAAAAATTGGCGGGCCGAGTCTGCAGACTGCTTATGCAACAGCCCGACGCAAGGTTCCTATTGCAACTAAACTAACAGAAGATCAGTTTGGAATAGCGGCCTCATTCTATCAACGTGTTGGTTATACGGGACCATTTGTCCTGGCCATAGATGCTACTGCAATTTCACCATGCCTTAGAGTAAGAGGCAATCGAATCGTAGGAATTGCATCTGAAGAGGACATTTTGTACGTACTGCACAAGATATTATCGAGGTGACAAATGACCAAAGTAAGGAAAAGGCGCGGCAAGCTAATGCGTTTGTGTTGACTCCTCTGCAAGAGCACGTTCCTAGTTTTACCCTTGCAATTTCACCAGTAGTTAAGGGGCAAGACTGGGCTTCAGTGAGGAATTGGTTCGTGGACGCATTAAACTGGGGTGCTCAACATAATATGCAGATTCTCGGAATAGGTGCGGATGGAGACTCTAAATTTAGAAGATACTTTCTTGATGAGTTTAGTAAAAGGCATGGCATGGTAGATGAAGTGATTTCGGTATCTCACAAGGGGTTCAGTTTTGTTTCTGTGGTCAAGAATGTTCATGGCCTGAGAATTCCTACTGTTATGTTTCCTGACTGGAAGCACCTAATTAAAAATGGAGAAACCAGATTCTAAACGTGCGTCGCGTCCTGGTTCTAGGAGATTCGTTTGTCATGATTGAAGATCTAATGAGGTTGTATGAGGCGAACAAATTAAAAAGTGGATTATGGAAAAGTGACATTTTCGTCAGGGACAAACAGAACGTGGCTGCAGCGCTACGAATTTTGCAACCTGAAGTCCGAGAATGCTTGAGCGAGTGGAATAAGGACCGCAGTCAAGCAATTCGAGTTTACCTTAAAGTAGGACATAACATGCTACGTGCATATACAGATGAAAATCTCACTGTGAAAGAACGGTCAAAGCTTGCTTGGTCTTCAGTTTGCTTTGTCAGATTATGGAAAGCTTGGGTAGAGATGTCAAATTATCCAATAGAGTCCTCTTTTATATCCTTACAAACGTACAACGATATAGTGCTTGCGGGACACTCGCTTATATTGTCGAGAAAATTATTTTCGGAGTACTTCCCCGATCAATCTTTTAATCCCTCTACGTTTGGTTCTGACAGTTGTGAAAGACTTTTTGCACGCTGTCGTGGGTTTTGTAAAGGGAAAACAAATTTTTGTATGCTGGACATGCTCGACATTTGCGGCAGAATAGCAAAACTCGATGAGCTGAAACTTAAGGAGCCTCCAGTTGTTTCTCGCACATCTTGGCCAGAGTTTGTGGAAGATGAAATCTTGAGCGGCATCAAGGAGGCAGAAAAAGAAGTTCTGAAAACCATCGAGGGACTAGGCATGCTGCCACTTTTAGCTGCTGGTAACATATTAAGATTAGATGATTCAGGGGACATACTGTATATCAACCCAGGAATAGAAGCCTTAGCTGATATACGTGACGGTCCTGATGAAAGTGACACTATAACCGTAGAAGAATTGCTAGACGTGGAAAACGATGTTCTATGTTCTGCTGCTGAGACTAACGAACATTGCTATTCCTTTGCGCTATCTGATCTGGCAGCGTCCTCCATCCCAAGGTCAAATGCATTTGACCGAGAAGAAGGAGGAGAGGAAAATGGTGATGTCGATGACGATGATGACCCAAGGCATTGCCATCTTTTCCAGAAGGGTACCTGTAAATACGCAAATCCTGCCTTTAAAGCTCCAAAGACGACTCACTGGATTGGTTGTGATTATCCAGGGTGCGACAACTGGTTCCACGAATCATGCTTAAATCTCAAATTCTGTACAGACTCAGAGAGAGAAACGTATGCCTTTGTTTGTACATCGCATGGGAACGTAAAAGGGATGGAACAATATAAGGACCTAGTTGCTGCGACGGCGTCAGATATTTCCATGATGGAGGAAGACGAGCAGAATGAAGGCACGTTCCACTTGAAGAGACGAAGGAGATTTAATTACGGGGAGAAAACATCAGCAGCTTCACAATGTTCAGTTCCACCCAACTATGTTGAGTATGATGGAGAATTTTATCACATTGCGGAATTTTTGTCTCTTCAGCAGGGAAAAGTGTATAAGCCATCTACTTCTAGAATGGCTAGATGGATGGCTGTCTCAAGGAATGATTTCTACGAACGGGTAGAAAGGCTCGTAGCACCAACTAGATCAGAAAACGGACTATATTTTGAGGATATAGCGGCATTCTGGGTCCCACGTCTCGGTATGAGATGCGGTTTGGTATTGCGGCTGGTGCGTGACACGTTTTCTAAATCCCCTGTTCCTGTCTTTGAGTGGAAGAAAGGAAACGACTCGAAAGAAAAAAAATATCAGTTTGCTTTCAAGTTCTTTCGATCTTAAAAAGGAAAATAGCAAGTGGTTGTTATCACCCACAAAAGAAATAATGTGGAGTGAATGCAAAACACATTTGCTAACTTTCGGAAACCTCCAAGGGGAAAGAAAGTGGCCTTTGAAAGTAGACGCGGAGGCGATGGAAATTCTACTGCCAAAGCTGGAAGAGGAAGAAGAAGAGTCTCGGAGGAAGGAGGAGAAACTGAAAGAGTTAGAAAAGGAGAAACGTAAAATGGGGCCACCAGAAGACATGACTGTCTTCCTTCTCAAAGAGGTGTTAGACAGTCTAAATGTGACCTATAGATCCAACGAAAAAAAACCAGAACTTATAGCAAAAGTCCGTCAAGCTCGTGAGAACTTACAGGAAGGAGAAACTCACTCAACCTCAAGATATATTGGAAAGAAGAAGAGCAGAAAATTCAAAGCCTGCTTAACTTTGAATAATAACATAGCTTGCTTATACTATTACGATGAGAGAAAAGAGAAACTTCTCCAGATCCTTTCTCACCTATTGTTTCTCTTGGAAATTGTTGGAGCATATTTGCAATGCATTCTTTTCGTACAAATTGTAACTTTTATTCTCGCGGTCTATTGCCTTTTGTTGTGTCATTCATGTGTAATGACCTTTTTTGCTCACTTGATTCATTTACGTCGCGTGTGGATGGAGGTGTTATCTTCTTGGCTGTTCGCTCAAGTTAATTTACAACAAATACTTGGTGAAACAGTTGTTACTTATTAGCGACCTTTAGATTTGACTACGAGTACGAAATTGAGTACGAGTACGACTTTGGAATTTCGATATAATTGTATCCCCCGAACTATAACTCTTTCCTGTTGCTGACTAACACACAAATAAACGTTAGGGATAATATTGGTGTGATAAGTAGTTATATGATGCGGACGAATTTGGTTTGAAAACTCGTACTCGTACTCAATCTCGTACTCGTAGTCCAATCTAAAGGTCTCTATTTACTCGTCTACGCGTAACAAAGTTGGTTTACCTAAAACTGAACGAGCATCGTTTTTGCGTTTTTTTTCTCTCGTTATCGTTGAGCATGTTTCAATTTTTGAGTCTAGCGACAAGTGCATTATTATTACAGTTTTAAAAACCTTTGTAGTTTGTTTACAGTACATTAAGGCTGATTAAAGGTATTTTATATTATCGACTCAAGGTGTGGGATAAAGAAAGCGTATGTGTTAACTCCAGAGTACAGTACGTTGAAGCCACCGACAAACCGCATGCGGTTTAAGACCGGCTAGGGTTAACTTTACGTCTCGTCCGTCCTTAACTGCCTATACCGGTCTTTTAACTGCTTTCAGTCTTTTATCGTCGTTTCCTTGACAGGAAATATCAAGAACGGGTACTATTTCCCGTTTTTTGGCCTTACGATATCCATTTGCCTTTTGTTCCTTGCTTTTAAGCTCTGTCTTCTTCTTTGTCTGAGTTCCATTGACGAAATCGATATTTTTGATAGAAATCGATAGAAATCGATTAAAATCGAACTATAATTACAGAAATCGATAAAATCGATCAAAATCGATAATCACAAAAACCTCCGCTATCGATTTCTATCGATTTTCGATATTAATCAAGTAATTAGTATCGAAAATTATCGATTACAATCGATTTTATCGAGTATCGAAATTATCGATTTGTAACGCCCCGGAAACTATCACTTCACGCACAATGGCCAAATATCTGTGCGATCGCGATGTAAAACGGATTTCTTCGAGACTTTTTTTACGCAAAAAACGATTTTAGTCATACTATTAGACTAACACTAACTATTTTTGAGAGGAGAGTCAAACTATAATAGAGAAAAAAAAAATTGAAAGATCGTGAAATAAACCTACGCACCATTGAAAGGAAAAGAATAGAAAAGAGCCTCCAGTCGATCGGGGTTGTCCCAGGTGCATAGACTATTGCACGAAGGCGAGATTTTAAGAATTCCATCCCCATTTTCTTTAGCTCGACAATTCTCTTCTCAGTAACAGTGACATCAAACTGGAAGGGGACAGGAACAAAACTGGAACTACTGTGGTCTGTCCCAACTTTTATCTACTTTGACTGCTAACGCAAGTGTTGCGTCAGGTGATAGTGTCGTTCCCAGGACTTGTCGGCGTGACGAAACTGTCGAAACAAGATGACTTGGCAGATTTTTTTTTCCGCACTTTGACCCTTTTTTAACCGCCTTTAAGATTCTTCGGCAATTTAGCTCAATGACTTAACGCTAGGAAGATAAAGTGAAATGCAGAGTCGTTGTGCATATAGCATGGGTGCATGTTGGTCTCGGAGGGTCTCGGAACAAGAGCGTGACATAACTGAACAGCGTAAGAAGAGGATCACCGGAACAGGGAACATTAATACACCAGAACTTGGAATACTGGAGCACTCTGTAAACTAGTTGAATCTCTTAGAGTGCTTCTGCGTAGGCTCTTTAGGTCCACATTTTCTGCAGAAATACCTATAGGACAAATAAAAGTAGGACACAAAATAAGATGCTCGGATCGACGATTTTAAACTATTGAAATGTTTAAATGTGTGACGATAGCTTTGATCTTTCACCTGGAATTGATTCAGACGCCGATCTTAAATCCCGCAGAACTAAACTCAAAAGGGGAAAAAGGCTCTCTGAGTTGAACCGCTTGCAAAATGCGTTATTATGCATCAAAACGGAGGTTTTCGAATAGGATGATGTCATAAGTGGTATACTACTTACGGGCTCCTGGCATGACGCATGCTCTGTAAGGGATGCTATCGTATTTCCATTGTTTTAGCGTCTTCGTGTGGACGGGCGAAAACGATTCGAATACGCTTCGTACGGACGGTTATTTTTCCGAAAACAGACGGAAAAAATCTCCGTTTTAAAAAATATCAGGATACGTGTGGACGGGACCTCAGTTTGGACATTGTTTCTCTGGTTCTTATGCGGGAATTTTCCTTATAATAAATTAAGGTTGCTCTTTATTTTGAAACATTTCTTCTACAGTGGATGTTACCCCCTTTTTTCTTTGATGTTACATTACCCATTCTTTGCTTGACAAGTGATGGTCGTTTTCGTCTTTAACAGGTTACAATAGAAACACCATATTCATATAAAACACTCTTAGTTTTAGCTTTAAATGCTCATGTTTGAAAAACTAGTTTGGTAACCGTAGTTTTTTGTTTGTTTGTTAGGTTGTTACTTTTTCCCAGTGTCGTATTGTGATTATCATGACAAATTATGACTATCTCCGCGGTTCCAAAAAAATTGGGCGTGTTTTCCAAAACTAAAAAAGGAGGCTGAGGGGCGATCCCATATTTTGTTTTAAAACTCTGCGAAAAACTAAAATGTTGAATCCTTTAAATAACAGAGGCTATCAAACTATGGTTTGAGTTATAAGTACTTTAAAGTGCTTTAAAAGGCTATAATGAAGGATATTTCTATCAAGTAAAACTGTTGCTACGGTAACCTGTTACTGGCAGAATATGATTATAACTTTATGCGGCAATGTTATCGAAGGCATTGCGTTTGATGCCGTTCAGTAGCATGAACTGAGGAATTCATCTTCAACTTTATATTTTATGCTGTTTACAGGGCATTGCTTAGTACTAACAATTGTGTTGAAATATATTCAGGTACGAGCACAGTGGCCAAAGGAACAGCAGCTTTCGAGTTGGCGATTGTCTTGTTAGCTGTAGAATTACTGAGAATTCAAGATTTCTAAATATGGTAAGCTAAATGGGCATTCAAGTTTAAGTTACATACTGAAAAAAAAAAAGAGTATCGAAGCGTCGAAGTGAAAGTAGTCATTATAAATGCTGAGAACCTTGTTTCAGTCTCTTGAAAAACTTAAGAAGATTAATAAAGTACGCTCTTGACTTGCGCCCGGGAGCAAAAAAAAAAACTGGGAAAAGAATAAACTGGATTACCCAAAATGTCATGGAAATGAGACTGACCACTGACTCACAAGATGTTTTGTCTTCCAGTTGTTATAGGGGACTCTGAATTGCTTTACACCCTGCCAGAAATCTCACAAGCAGGACGCCGTGAACGGTACGCCGTGGTTTTGTTGGAGAATGGTTGGAGGTTTTCTTATTACAATTCGATGATTCCCTTGTACCTTGAGTAAGGTGTGTGAAAATAGCTTTTCCAGTACTCTTTACGTTAAGTTTAGTTTTCATTTTTATCATGAATGGGATTTAGGTATCAACTTTCAGTTAAACTGCCATGGCTAGTTTGAGCCCCGTTTTTATAGACTCCAGCCTTCACTAATTTAGGTGATCTTCGTTCACTTAAAAGCCATGAAGTTGTGGTGTCTCGATATAGGTATTTATTTCACATATAATACTGTGACGCTTTCGAGCCTTGGAAATATTATACCTTGTTCTCTAATATGGATATTTCTTCGTTAATCAAAACAACCCGGGAAGGGGAGCGAGCTAAGCATTCGGCACGTGCCAAATCGCTCACTCGCTCGCATGGAGAGTCTCCGTTTACACGCTCGCGTGCTGCTAGTTTGTGTGCCCGAAAGACGAATCAAATGAGTTACAGTTGAGAGCAGCAAAATTTCGGCTTGATCTCAAGTCAAAAGTTTCTGACCTGTTTGAGTATGAATTAGGTCTGAATTGAGTTTTAATAAGTTTTGTCTTTTAAGAAAAAAGGCAAGTTTGTTCGGAAGTTATTGATTCGTCTCTGTATTATGGAAAATCTAATTTCTAAACGTAAGCGATTTTTGTCTGGCAAGTTCTTAACAGAATTATGCGATCTAAATTTTAATTTAAAACTATCTTTGCTATATTTGGTTCAACTTATATCATAACCTTTAGTTAAGAAAAGCAAAATCATATTCGTCGGGATTCATTTTTTGTCGAACTGGTAACCTAAATTTACGACGGAATATAGAACATGATATAAAAGGAATTTTTCTTAAGGAAGTTAATTTGCAATAATTTTACGATATTAATCACCCATACTGACGAAAACTTGACAGATTTAAGGTGTCGTTTTTCTTTGAAATTTTCAAAAACAAAAAAAATATGAAGTGTTTTTTTCATATCAATCTTTTATGGCAACCAAATTTATTTACAAGTTTTGATTTAGTGATTTGGTTGTCTTGACCCATCCAAAGTTGATCAGCGCTAAAAGGTTGATAAACAGAGCGGTCAGAACATTTCATTTTCTTGGTCGTTCGGCTAAAATCTGATTAAAAATTACCTTTGTGATAGGATGTGGTATCTTGGTTTTAAAAAAAGAGTGCGAGATGCTGATGCAGGTGTAGCAAAGCAATTGTAAGGCCAGAGTCGCTAGGTTTAAGAGGTGGAAAAAATCCGAGCACGGCAAGAAATTGCTAACCCAGGGCGCATTTTGGTTCCTTCGCCCTGCAGGGAGAAAACGGTAATTGAAATATTTTATAGATAATTGTAGGTTAATTTGATTTACTTCCTCCCGGTTTCTTAGTTTTTGGGTGGTTTTAGTAAAAATTTTAATCTAATAAGCTCGAGTATCATTGAAAACGCATTGTAAGAGGTTTGGTTGAGGTCAAAAGACGCGAACCGTCTGAGAAGGCTGTTACAAGCGTCGATTTGCAATGCTACATGACAATAACAAATTGTAGGCATTTTCAAGCAGTTGGAAGAGATTCACGTTGGCGTTCATTCCTAGGAATGTTACTCAGTGAAAACAACCTGAACCACGCAGTTTCACAACAGTGGCAATATTAAAAAGTTAAAAACGCTTCGAAGGAGTTTTGAAAGGATACGTGCTTGTTAGACAAAAAAATGCAATTTGTTACATAACGAATTTAGTCATCTTTAAGATAAAAGATACATTTGAAGGCAGGTGGTGCTGATTCATATTTGAAACATTTAAAATGGAATATAAAAGGAAGAATAAACGCAATTTAGGGAATATTTTCCCATTCGGTTTGTTTGATGTCGGGTCAAATTTACTCCAAAATTTTATATTATTTCATTCAAGCGTTTTACTATTTTGCGACAGTGTTCAATTGTTTGAATCGATTTTCCTACCTGGCTGTCATTAGTAAATCATGAGTTTTTTTGTTCTACGTTACACATATCACGAGTGACATTTTGTACTTTAATGGGGCTTGGTGGAAGGCTTGCTTTTTGTGGGGTCATCTGATAAAGCTTTTATAGTTTGGTTTCCTTAGCCTTAGCCTTACAGAAAAATTCCATCACTGCCTTTTTGTGTCTTTTTGCTTAACGCTTTCGCTCCCAGATTTCATTCTGGAGACACAAAAGTTAAGATTTATCAATTTGATCAGTGAAGTGCTTTGCTATACTGTTTCTTTACTGATGGGCAGTAAAATAACAGACAATTCCTAAAAAATAATAAACTAACATTACGTAAATTGAAATGTAATGTTGTACAGAGCCTTGTCTGTCATTTACTGACGAGAGATCTGAGAACGCACCCGGACAGCATGACGGTTCACTACAAACACGTTTTTATTGAATCTGTGCGTGCGCATGTAATTACTATACATGGAAAACGCACAGGGAGACCATAACATTTTGTCCACACAAAAATGTTCCGTCCCTAGTTTGTAACTGTGTCTAAAAAACAATCTCAAGGAAACAAACCAAATCGACTAACAGTGTCCGGTAACCTACAGTCTCTAAGAAAAACAGAAAAACCATTCAGAGGTCGAGTCTCTGTGGTGCCCTGCGCAGTCTCTGAGGGTACCGCCACTCGCGGACCGTGGGACTGACTGGAGTCGCTTCAGGAGGGTCGGGAGCTATAGGCGTGGGAACAGGAACCATCTCCGGTTGATCTGCCACGGGAATCTCTGGAACTGTACCGACAACATTGGGTGGAGCACTCAGTTGGATTGGCGCTGGTGGTATGCTGGCCACTTCGGGTTGGCTCACCTAAACAGTGTCGGTGTCAGTGACCTCAACAGTGTCCTCAACTGCCGTTGTCTTCAACTGGTCGATATGTCGACGCGAAATAATCCCTGGTGCCACCTGCATCTCGTACATCAGCGGACGTGTCTTGTTGACAATCAGTCCTGAGCACCACTTCATATCCCCTCGATAATCTCGTGACATCACCGAGTCACCAAC